TCCCTTCCATCCTCCCTCAACTCTACCCCTTTTGTTTTGTCCATGAGTCCTTGCTATATGTTCCTTGACTTTCCCCCTTCCTTTCCTCCCCCCCCCCCTCCTTCCCTCTTGTCTCTGTTGGTTTCATTTCCTTTCAGTGTTGCTGGTCTTATTTTCCTTATATCTTTATATTGTTGGTTAGGTTCCGCTTATAGGTGAGATCATATGGTATTTGTCTTTCACCCCCTGGCTTATTTTGCTTAGCATAATGCTCTCTAGTTCCATCCATGCTGTCGCGAAGTTTAGTAGTTCTTTTATTCTTTCTGCTGCGTAGTATTCCATTGTGTAAATGTACCATAGTTTTTTGATCCAGTCATCTACTGATGGGGATTTAGGTTGCTTCCAACACTTGGCTATTGTAAATTTGCTGCTATGAACATTGGGGTGCATAGGTTCTTTTGAATTGGCGTTTTGGGATTCTTCAGGTATAGTCCCAGCAGGGGAATCACTGGATCAAAAGGCAGTTCCATTTTCAGCTTTTTGAGGAAATTTCACACTGCTTTCCACAATGGCTGCACCAGTCTGCATTCCCAGCAGCAGTGTACTAGTGTTCCCTTTTCTCCACAGCCTCGCCAGCACCTGTTGTTTGTTGACCTGTTTATGATGGCCATTCTGACCGGTGTGAGGTGGTACCTCATTGTGGTTTTGATCTGCATTTCTCTGATGGCTAGTGATGCCAAGCATCCTTTCAAATGGCTCTGAGCCCTCTGTATCTCTTCCTTGAAAAAGCATCTGCCCAGGTCCTTTGCCCATTTTTTGATTGGATCGTTTGTCTTCTTAGAGTGGAGTCGAGTGGGTTCTTTATATATCTTGGAGATCAAACCTCTATCTGATGTATCATTAGCAAATATATTTTTCCTATAGAGTTGGCTCCCTTTTCATTTTGCTGATGTTTTCTTTAGCTGTGCAGAAGCTTCTTATTTTGATGAGGTCCCACTTGTTTATTCTTTCCTTTATGTCCCTTGCTTTAGGAGACATATCAGTGAAAAAATTGCCGCGTGGGATATCTGAGAGTTTCCTGCCAATATTCTCTAGGACTTTTATGGTGTTGCAACTTATATTTAAGTCTTTTATCCATCTTGAGTTTATTTTTGTGTATGGTGTCAGCTGATGATCCAATTTCAATTTTTTGCATGTAGCCGTCCAGCTCTCCCAACACTATTTGTTGAAGAGGCTATTATTGTTCCATTTTATGCTTCTGCCCCCTTTGTCAAATATTAGATGCCCACATAGATCTGGGCTTATTTCTGGGCTTTCTATTCTGTTCCACTGGTCTATGGATCTGTTCTTGTGCCAGTGCCAGATTGTTTTGAGTATAGTGGCTTTGTAGTATAGTTTGATGTCCGGTATTGTGATCCCTCCTACTTTATTTTTCTTTCTCAAAATTACGCAACCATTCTGACTTAAACAGCAGTTTACTGACAAACAACAGAAACTGACAAAAAACAGCAGTTTCATTATGGTTCAATGTAATAGGTAGTCACATACACCCTGTGTATGCCAGTGGTGGCCCTGGAGTCCAAAGTGCCTGGACTCATTCAGACCTAGGCTCATGGCACATCAGGATCCTAGACTGTTGGGCTCCAGGGCCCTGGAAAATGTCTAGTTGACTTCGGTGGCCTGGGACCAGCCTTACTCTCCACATCAAGCCCCTCTGTTCCTGTGTAGGTTCCATGGTGGCCTCCAGGCCAGGCTTGGTTGGGGCATGCAACCAAGGGAGGAGCCTCCAGCGCCACAGCCACGTGGCAGAGGAGCCCCGGAGAATTCCTTCCAGTCAGGGGGTGCTAGCCCTCCCAGCAGGGCCTGCAGGGTTTCGGGAGGGAAGGAAGCCTCGGGTTTCTGGACACACCCAGCACCCTCAGTCCTCACCTTTTCTGCCCCATCCTGATGGCCTGGCTGGTACTGGTTCCCCGCGGACTGAGTGCCACCTCTTCAGGCCTTCTGGACCTCTCAGATGGCTCCTGTGCCCTGCCAAACCTCTGGACCCACTGCTGGAGCAGGCACAGTGCAATAGGCATCTAAAATATGCCCAAGGGATGAAGGCAAAGTGGCCCTGGAGGTTTTAAAGCTGCAGAGTCATGGGAGGTTTATGGGCAACAGTTCACAGGACTTAACTGAGAATTTTTGTTACCAAGGAAGCCAGGGCTCTGGCACCTAACACCCTGACATATGATCCAAAAATTAGTGTTAAAGGAAGCAGGTTTTTATTAACAGGATTCCAACATTGGCAGGGGCCGAGGGCACTCCTGCTCAGAGCCCTCCTTTGCCATGAGACCCAGACCCTCCCTTGCTCCCCAAAAGGCTACAAGCCAAAACCATGTTCCCCATGAGTTCCCCATATCCTTATCTGTCCATCAGCTGGTCACGGAAACAGATCCCCATCCTCTCTAGAATGTGAACTTGTGGGTTTAAGAGTTGCCATCCACTCGCAGCCACTTGCTCCTTCAGAATCTGGGTTGTGCTCTTCTCAGCCTCCATGTAATTGTTCAGGAAAACATGTGCCATGTTACACTGGATCATGGTGGCATCCAGGGAGGCACACGTCCCAAGAGAGTGGCTTCTCGTACATCCCTCAGAGAAGCAGAAGTATATCCTCTCTCACTCCAGATCACATGGCTTCTCCCCCTCTTACTCCAGAATGTGTGGCTTTTCTCTTTTTCAGTCCACCCTCATTTTAAATGCCAGGCCCAGAACTTCCTGTGTAATTTTGTATCTGGCCCCTCCTATAATGTGTTAGTGTCTGCCATTTTTGCTATTTCCCCCATATCTTTTACCTTCTTTCAGCTGCCATCTTTAGTCAGGGAAAGAGTTCCCAATGATGCATGGACATCTGGGTGGGCATCCACCCCCTGCCTCTCATGAAGGCACAACATAAGCAACCCCACCTTCTCCCCTGGCTCTGTCGCGAGTCCCTGAGCATTTTCACCATTCTGTACACAATTCACCCTAAGCAGCAGCCCCCTTCCCTTCAGGAAGGAAAGGCCATTAACTTGCAATTGTTATGTGATGTATCTCAAATGCTGCGCCATCTACTCTTCCCTTCCCCTAATCAAGGATTGTGGGGGTTTTCTCCTATTTTTCAGGGGGCCCTTGTGGTGTACCCCATTGCATTTGACTCTGGGATTCACCCGCCTGCCCTGAAATCCTTGGACTAACAGGTGGGTCTTGATGCCTTGGAACTTGGTGGTGCCATTTAAAGACCTGGTTTCTTCCCTCTCAGGAAGATCCTAACAGGAGAGGAAGGATCTCAGTTCAGGCCATTGTAGCCTCCACCCACCCATCCATCCATTTATTCTTTCATTACACAAATGGCTATTGAGTACTTATATGTGCCAGACACTCTGCTAAGTACTTGATGTATAGCAGTGAAAAATACAGGCAAAAATCTCCACCCTCCTGGCATTCCAGCATCTTGGGTCATGACATTAATAATGATGCTGTTGCCTGGCTAATATTTCTATTACAAAACTTACCATTTTTACCATGGGATTTGTTACCATTGTTACCAATCAAACAGGCAAAATGTGTTTTTCTCACCCTTTAATAAGAGGACATGCCCTGGATATAATGTTAAATAAAAAATCATGAGAGAAAATTGTATATGTAGTCTAGTTCCAATTATGTTAATATATGTGCATAGAGAAAGGACAGGTGGGAAATAGCCCCTAAATATTAGTGGTGGTATGGCAGACTGCTTCCTAAAATGGTCACAAGAAGGTCCCTCAAACCCTAGGCTCTTCATACAGTACGACCTTGATCTCCCGTTGAGAGGTGTGGTCAAGTTTTCCTCTCCCTGCATCCATGACAATACAGCTTCTGCCTGGTGCTCCTAGGATGCTCCTATCTGGAAAGCCAGACGCCGAGAGGAAGCACATGGAAAAGCCATCTGCAGGTGATTTTGCCAAAGCCCCAGCTGAGGTCCCAGCTGATGGCCAACACAGGTCATTGGACATGAATGAAGAGACTCGTGCCGCCTTCCGACTGCAACCATGTCAGAGACCCCGAACATGAACAGCCTAGCTCAGCCTAGCCAACCCCTAGAATCGTGAGATAATAAGGAGAGTTGTTGTCTAAAGCCACAGGGTTTGGGGGCGATTTTTCATAAGCAATAGATATCCAGGAGAAGTGGCTGATCTGGATTGCAGGACTATGGGTATTAACACTACTTTTCTATGCTTTCCAAGATTTCTATAATGAACGCTATTTTTATAATCTGCAAAAAATGTTATTAAAAATAAAAACATAGTCTACATTTTTTCACTTCACCTAGGGAAAAGTAAGATCTGAATTTGAATTGAGTGACTTAAACGAGACTTGGACAAAAGCTTTCCATGCAAGACTGATTAGATGCTGGAAAGGGTTAGTAAGATAAATGGAAGTTGGTATGATAGAAAGAGTGATAGATTTGGAGTGAGGAAACTTGGAAATAATCTCAGTTTTCTGGGTGACCTTGAGCAAGGCCTTGCTCAAATTCAGCTTTCTATTTTGAAAAATGCAGCTGGCTGCCTAAGGAAGAGAGAACATCCAGGAGGGCGCCTGGCCCAGAAAAGGCGCTCCACACGTGGCAGGGGATCCTGTCTAATCAATGCAAATTATAAGCGGGCATCTGCAAGTTTCGTGGAGGGCTCTTTCTTCACTGCCACCAGAGACTACAATTCCAGTAATGAAATTGCCCGAAGAGCCACAAGTGTTTAAAACAAAACAAAACAAAACAAAACAAAACAAAAAACAAAAAAAAAACCCAGGAAAACGCTGAACAACCTCTCCAGTCGTACTTGCCCACGACGCCCCATCATGGCTGGAGCCTCTAGTTCTGCCTTTCTCAGAAGACTCCACCACAAATGGGAGGACGTTTGAGCCTGGAGGTACAGAGGGTGGAGGACCTGGAAGCCCCGCCTAGTGCAAACCGGCGCTGCGGCGTGTTGCTGGGTCGGTGTCCTGGCAACGCTGAAACGCGCCTCCTCGAGAGGAGCTGGCAGGACCGCGTCCCTCTCGCCTTTGGCTCTCGGTTCCATCCCCAGACCTGAGGCAGTTGGGCTGCCAGTTGGTGGGTTGATATCACCGTATATCTTCCCTGGAGTCTTCCCAGCGTAGAGCTGGGCCATCCCTGGGGGAGGGAGGGGAAGACCCACAGGTGGAAAAGGGGAGGCGCACCGGAGCAGTGAGCCTTGTCTGGTGCTGGGAGAGAACTCATCAGAGCTCTGAGGGCATCCAAACCGGGAAACACCGGGTGGAGGGAGCCAGGGAAACTGATTAAGAGGCCAGCCCTGCCCTCTTGACTTTCAATGTCTTGTGGAGTTTTTCTTTTTCTCTCCTATTGTTTTTATTTTTTAATTTATAAAGCATGTTTATTCTGTTACAATTGTCTCAATTTCCCCCCCTTTACTCCCCTCTACCCATCCCACCCCCACCCGAGTTTGTTTGTTTTGATTGCTACCTTTCTTACAAAGGTCTTTTCTTTGTCTCCAGGTTACTTTTAATATTTAAAGGCAACCTGTGCTTAGATGAATCTATACACAAGAAACGGTCCACGGGGCTGTCATCTCGCTTCTGTGTCCAGAGCGACCTGCAACGAAGACCTGGAGAAGGTTCAAGAGAAAGTAGACTCTGGCATGCCCGTGGTGGAGAAGACACACAGTTAAGTTTAAGAAATCAGGGGGGCTGGCTGTGGATTTGATCGTCATATCCAAGTATACTAAAGCCAGGAGACACCATTTCAAGTTTAAAAGGAGACTAGTTTGGAGACATATTAAAACAAAACAAAACAAAACAAAACTACTTGTCTTATTAACCCAAGATCTAATAAGGCAGAGAACAGCTTCAAAGCAGAGAGTCTCATAAATGACCTTCCTGGACCTCATAACATCCACTCCCGCCCCCAGGTATATACAAATGAGTAAAGGGAGCCAGAAGTTTGAGCTGCCCGATGCTTTAGTCAATAAATGGTGAAACTGGGATTTCACAGGAGTCTTCTGGTCTCCAAAGTCCAGGCTCTTCCATTTCTTTCTTTGCTCATTTATTAGTAGGTTTGTGGCACTATTTATTGGATGGGACGGGTTAGGTAGAAATTTTGATCACTTTAAGGAAAGGTGTAACTTAAATAATGGATGGTAGTTCTGTAATTGGTTCTTAAGGCTGTGGAGGATGTTTGGGGGGAATATTTGCCTTGAGAGAACAGTGTCAAGGAGCAGAACAGCCACAGTTTCTCAGAAAACCTCAGAGTGAGTATATGCCCAGGTTGACATTTACCTCTTATAGGTGAGTGGCCTGTATGCTGCAAAAAGGGATTATAAAATCTTCTGTCTCTTCTTCATCAGATCTTAACTTGGTCCATGGTCTTCTGTATCCAGGTCTGCAAACTCCTCTTTCTTCTTTACAAGTGCAGGGAAAGGAGGGAGCTATGACTCACAACACCCACTTACAAGAGGGGCTTTTGGAACACCAGGAGGCAGAATTGTTAATTGCCCACCATACCTAGGTCAGCAAGGACAAAAAGGTTCTGGAATTCTAACTTTAAGCTCCCAACTTCTCTACAGGTGAATCTGGGTTAAGGAGGGAGCTGTTGTTTTAAGGGTGGGGTAGAGAGGCTCCATATTTCTGAGTTAGGAGCACCAGCCCCTGAGATCCCCAAACCACATTAACCAAAGATTAGTGGCTGTCTTTTCTGCTCTGTAGGTGTATCACTAGGGAGACTGCACCTGAGCTCATGGGGTTCAGGGAAGAACAGCCACATAAACCATTTGAAGATGAATGCACAACTGTGGGTATATAAACATTTTTCCAGCAGAGAAGGCCCATTGCTGACATTACTTATCCGGGGAGCTTGTGGTCCAAAAAAGAGTTAAAAATCATTGTCTTAAATCCTTAGGTTATTCGTTGAGCAGATCGACGGCAGGGGTTGAGGGGCGGCTCTGTAATCTTGAACGTGTTACTTGATATTTTGGGTTCTCAATTTCTTTATGGGTAGAATCATTTCTATTTCACCTGTAATTATGACCTCCTTTTTCTTCCTAATACTGTATACTTGTGTTCAGAATTTTTCTTGAACTTTGTTTATCTATTAGTTAAAGAGTATCCACATTAAACAAACTTGGCTTGATGTATTATTTTCCTTCTTCCAGACAGTGCTATTGTGTAAACAAGCTCAGATGACAGGTGTGAGAAAGAGCCTTGGTCATGTAAGATGTTATTCCTACCTAAAGAGATGAAAGTAATGATCCTGGATTCCACGGATGGTACCAAAGAAACAGAATTTTCTGCAAACTCTTTTTCCCCTGGATTTCTTTCTAGTCACCAGAACCTTCATTTGGTCCTTCTGGTTGTATCATCTTTCCTTATCTCATAGTGTTTCAGCGACTTGTTAGAACTTCCTACCTTATGGTTTATTGAACATTTTTGCATTGGAGTAACAGTTATCACGATAAATGGCGACCCTTTCAAGATGATGTACCTTAGCTTATTGGTTCCTCACCACAACCCAGAGAGCTAGACAGAGAGGTGGGGCAGGCTTTGGGAGCTGGGCGCGCAGTGGTAATTGACCTGCATAAAGTTACTTGTTGTCACTCGACACATGGGAGCATCAGTATCAGAGTGGAAGGGCCCAGACTCTCCTACCTGAGCAGGTGGGGGGAGGCAGCTTGAGGCGATGTTTAAGTGTCTCCAGGTATTTCTAGAAAGATCTCGTAGCCGGCTGGATCTGGAGAATATGCTGTTTGCCAGTTTAGCAGAGACTGCTTTTTGTCCTTGCCTGTCAGGGAGATCTTCCCTGTTACAGCAGCCACAGGCCACTTTCTAGAGTGTTGCCAACACAAAACTTCTTAAGCAAACAAGGACATAGACTAAATCTGTAGGTGTGATTTCACTGCTCACAGTTTTGTAATATTTCAAACTTTGCCCCTAAAATGAAAAAAACAAAACAAAACAAACAAAACAAAACAAAAAAAACTTGTGAAGGGGTCCCTCTGATACCCATCTGTAGTAGTCAATTCTTGCTTTGATCAACTTTGAAGTCTCTAATGGGAAATATACAATTAAAATGTTTGCATGCTATGAAAAGACAACAACTGTTAAAACCTATGTGCAAAAATTATCATAAATCAATGCTCTGATATATAACTCAGAACTTATATATGAGAATAACCTAGATGACATCTCTGCCCTTGAGTTTTCTTCTCTACATATGTAGGTCCTTTCTGTGTTCTTATATATAAAACTTGGACTGTTTACATAGATATGTGTCTAGAATTAGAACCATTGGATCAAAAGTATACTTCTCATAGACTTTGGAGGACACATACGGCCAAATTGCTCTTTAGTAAGATGGAGACATTTATACCAGCAATGTGCAAGAATGCCATTCCTCCAAGCTGGACCAACTTAAGAGTTTTGCAAACTGATAGCAAATAATAGTATCTCATTTTAAACTCAGCCCTTTGATGATTAAGAAAGATGAACTTCCCCCCAAATGTATATTGGCTATTTGTATGTATGTGTGTGCATTTTATTTAATGAATTACCTAGTCATGTCTTTTGCCCAATTTTTTTCTCTTTGGGTATTTATTTTCACCTTATAAATTTATAAAAACTCATAATTTATCATGACTATTAACTCTTTCTTGTTGTATATTTTACAGATTCCCCTCTAGCTTATAATTTGCTATGCAAGTTTTATTTATTTATTTTTAGAGAAAGGGGAAGGGAGGGAGAAAGAGAAGGAGAGAAATATCAATGTGTGGTTGCCTCTTGTATGCCCACTACTTGGGATGTGGCCTGCAACCCAGGCATGTGCCCCATCTGGGAATCAGAGTTGCAACCCTTTGGTTCGCATGCCAGCACTCAATCCACTGCGCCACACCAGCCAGGGCTTGCTATGGAAGTTTCAAATGTATGAGGTCTGTCCAGAGAAAGGCCAGCCATTGTTGATATAATGACAATGCTTTGTGGGACATTGATGTAACCTGACAGCCAAGGAGAGTGGACTGGAATGTGCATGTGTAAACAATGATGACTGCACTGTATTAGTCAGTGGGGGCGGTAGATGCCATTGAGTGAGCATGTGTACTGTGCGGCCTCACATTCAAAATGACTGAGTGAGTAGAGCAACAGATCTGCATCAGATTTTGTGTTAAGCTTGAATATTCCTCCATGGAAACTATTCAGATGACTCAGGAGGCCACAGCTATGGGCAACTGGAGATTGGCAACTTCATCAGGACAACACATACACTCACGCATTGTATCTTGTGCAGAGATTTTTGGCGAAACATCAAATCACCCAGGTAACTCAGCCCCCTTCCAGCCCAGATTGGGTACCCTGTGACTTCTGGCTTTTTCCAAAACTAAAATCACCCTTGAAAGGGAAGAGATTTCAGACCATTGATGAGATTCAGGAATATATGACAGAGCAGCTGATGGCGATTGGGTGAACTGTGTGAGGTCCCAAGATGCCTGTTTTGAAGGGGACTGAGACGTCACTGTCCTATGTACAATGTTTCATGTACTTTCTTCAATAAATGTTTCTATTTTTTCATATTACATGGCTGGATACCTTCTGGACAGACCTTGTATTGAGACATTAAACTACATTTTATAAGTTATACTCCATAGCTCTGTAATCTTGAACATGTTACTTGATATTTTGGGCTCTCAATTTCTTTATGGGTAAAATCATTTCTATTTCATCTGTAATTATGACCTCCTTTTTCTTCCTAATACTGTATACTTGTGTTCAGAATTTTTCTTGAACTTTGTTTATCTACATTATTAGTTTTTCTTCCATGAAAAAACAGATAATCTTCATTTCATTAATTTCTGCCTTTATGATATACTTCCTTATCATTTTGGAGGATTTATTCTTTTTTCCCCTCACTTCTTGAATTGAAAGCTTAACTAATTAATTCTTGAATTTTTTTTTACACTTTAACCCATTGATTCTAAGATAAACATTTTTCACAGTCTACGACTATGAATTTGGATTGGTCCAACCAGTGCTGAGGGCCCAGAGGCAGGCGTGAAGTAGTTGTCGTAAACTTTGCTGTATGAGACTGAACAATGCAGAAAGTGTCTGTGGTTTGGAAGAAAATTCCAGAGGCAGTAGAGGAGCACTTATTTAGAAATGCTACATCATCCATGTTGTTGTTGCACTGAGGCCAATTGAGGTGGAGAATGTGCACATCAGTGATTTAGCTGGAAAGTGAGTTAGTAATCAGATTTTCAAATGTGAATATGGTTTGAGAATGCCTTAACCAATTTATTTTGCTTATATTTTTCTTCTTTAAATATGCACACGAGTGCAATATGTGATTAAAATCTCTAAGTAAGTCTAAAAGCCTGCTTCAATAAGTATAGAATAAAAATTCTAAGTGATAAAATATTGTGCCATAGTTAATTTTTCAAATTTTTTATCATCGCCAGAGGATGTATTATTTTCATTGCCTTATAGAGAGAGACAGGAAGGGAGAAGGGAAGGAAGCAAGAGATACATCCATGTGAGAGATAGACATCAATTGGTTGCTTCCTGTAGGTGCCCCAACCGGGGATCATATGTGCCTGGACAGGGCATCAACCCACAACCCTGGACAGGGGATCAAACCTGCAACTAGGCATGAGCCCTGACCAAGAATAGAACCTGCAACCTTTAGTTATAGGATGATGTTCCAACCAAATGATCCACACTGGCCAGGGAGCATTGTGCCACAGTTTAATTGGCAGCCTTTGTTTTTTTTAAGGTGCATAAAATAATAATGTTATTACAATGGATAGTGTCTTATATTCAGTGAAAAACAGCATATACATTTAAGGCTCAAGTTTCTAATTACTGCTTTAGTTGAACTCCACAAGTTTTGATATATAATATTAAATATCATTGATCATTATGTACTTCATGTTTTCCATTATGATTGCTTTTTTAATATGAAATATTTACACGTGTGGTCTGTTTCCATGCTCATGGATGCTTAGGTTGTCTTTTTATTATTGATTTCTAATTGTATTGCATTGTGGTCAGAGAGTGTGGAATGTGTTGTATTTGTTGACACTACTTTTGTGGCTCATTACGGGGGGTGTTGGCTGCCAGGGACCTGTGTTCTCCTCTTCACAACTCTGCTCCTTTCTCACCCCTCCACAGGGCTCCACTCCATCCCAACTACTTACAGCTCAGGAAAGCAGCTGACCTTCACTGTACCTGGGGCTGCTCTGGGACTTGTGGCATGTTCCAGAACAGTTCTTCCCACACTTGGCTGACCCTAGGAATCAGTCACCCGAGTTGCTTTTTAAACACACTGGTTCCTAGGTTTTCCCTGGTAGGTCTAGGTCAGAGCCCTGAAATCTGCGTGTTATTGAACAAGTGGCCCAAGGTGGTTCTCCTGACCAGGCAAATGCAGGGAATACTATGCAGCTGGGAATCAGGAGGTAGGATGGGATTGAATGTGGAGCTCTGATGGAGCTAGACTTGCAGAGGAGGAAAATCACTGCCAAGTGTGAGCCCAAGAGCTATTGGGGGAGGGGCACTTGTTCAAAATGTGGGTTCCCAGGCCTCACTTAGATAGATTCTAATTCAGAGGCTCTGTGATGGAGTTTGGGAATCTGTATTTTTTCATTCTAATGTAGACAGTCTTAGAATCAGAATAGTGTAAGGGGAGGAAGTAGCTCAGCTGACCTTCAAATGTTGTAGACTTACAGGCAATCCTCTTAAGAGTAAAGGGTTTGGTCCTGGCCAGTGTGGCTCAGTTGGATGAAGTGTCATCCTGTAACTGAAAGGTTGGATGTTCTGTTCCTGGTCAGGGCATGTACTTAGGTTGCAAATTCGATCCCCCGGTCCAGGCACATACAATCCCCAGTCCGGGCAGGTACTGGAGGTGACCAATGGATCCTTCTCTCTTGCATCTGTGTTTCTCTCTCTTCTTTCCTCTCTCTCTAAAAGCAATGAAAAAAAAATGTCCTCAGGTGAGGAAAACAAAAAAAAAGCAAAGTGTTTGGTGATAGGGTTGGGACTTGGCAAGAGTGTGGAAGGTATGATCCACTTGCTATATGAATTTGAGAGGGAGCCAGTCACCAATCAGAAATGAATAGAAAAATTGTCTGAGTACCAGTCCCACTGACAGATGATGGGAATTTGCAGATGGCCCCTATTGCATACCCTATTCACATGCAGCATGACACTCTAGAGGTGGGATAGCAAGCATCCAACCTAAAAAAAATGCACTCAAGAGTCAGTGAAGTCTGAATCTTAATTCTTGTAATTTTCTTATAACCAGAAGTTACATTGTGTCTACTGAACTTCTTTGCTCTATGAAGTTATGCATAAAGAAATGCAGTATCCATTTACCTGACATTTAAAAAAAGTGAATGGACAAGGCACACACCTATATACAATGATGGCAGAACAGATTGTCTTTCATGAAGCAGTAAGTGTATAGCAAAGTGAAGACAATAGGTACACTTCTCTGTCAGTCATAGGACTCCCTTACTTGTAATTGTGGTGACTAGGGAGTTATAATTTTTTTAATTTGTTGAACATCTGTTTTGTGCCAGGCCCTGTTCTGAGTGCTACTAAAATCACTAAGGCACAGTCTGGTGGGGAAGTTGTGTATGGAAATTAATGATGACACTACAATGTGAGGGGAACCCATGGAAGTTTCTGAAGACAGTTCTTTGGGTTTTGATCAGCAGCTACATTCATTAGTCTTTCTATGAACAAAACTTTTGAAAAATTGTATTGAGATACTCGGTAAACATACAGTGATACATAGCTCAAGTCAGCTCTTAATTCTTTCACTTAGTTTGGAGTATACTAACTATGTGGAGGCACAAGCAGTCTTGCATAGTGGTTAGGATTTTAGATTGTGGTGTCATAAGAACTGTGATCAAATATGGGCCAAGATATTTATTTTCTATGTGATTTAAGCAAGTTACTTAACCTTCTGAGCCACAGTTTCCTCATCTGTAAAAGGGAAGGATACATAATACCTACATCTGTGGGTAGTTATGAGAATTAAATGGGAAAATGTATGTAAGATGTCAACACAATCCCCAGTATACAGCAAATGCTCAAAAAAGTTAATTTAAAAAAATATAGTCTAGGGAACAAGATAGACTGGGAAGTATTTTCATTAACATAATCAAATTGTGATATCTTTGTGTTGCAGGTACTAAACACAACGGTTTTTTGGAATCTAAGGGATGCTTTGCCAATACAACATCCTCTGGCCAAAGGGTCAGCCCTTCATACCCTGCTGTAACAGGTGGAAATGCCAGTAAGCCTCCAGGCCCCTGCAGAGGGTCTGCTCACCCAGAGTAAGTAAGGGTCCAGAGAAGAACCATAAACAGTGGGGCAAATTCTGACCAGGGAGCCAAAAATCTCATAGGTAACTTGACATCTTTGCTAAGAACATGGATTCTGCTGCCAGACTGGGTTTAAAGCCCAGCTCTACCACTTAGCATCTGTGTGAACTTGGGCAAAGTTTAGATGTTCAATAAATGAAAAGAATTATAACTCCCCGGTCACCACAATTACAAGTAAGGGAGTCTTATGAGTAATAGAGAAGTGTACCCATTGTCTTCACTTTGCTACGCAATTACTGCTTCGTGAAAGACAATCTGTTCTGTCAGATTAGATGACTCCCTGGCATAGAATATGTGCTGTGCAAGTGCTATTATGAAGTTCAAAAGCAGTTGAAAATAAACTAAACAATGTATTTTTAGGAATACCTACCTACCTACATACATACATAGGTGGTAAATCTTAAAGAAAAGAAATGCTTACTATGAGGGTCGAAGTCAGGACAGTGGTTACCTTTCTGGAAAAGTTTTCTGGGGAGAGGGAGGGAAGGGCTGGCCTTGTTTTGTTTGTTTCTTGTTCTGGATGCTGACTTTATGCTATATTTATATTATATGTTTTGCATACCATTCTGTTTATATTTCTGTTACAGTAAAATTAAAACAATTTTTTAAATTTTATTTATTTATTTTTAGAGAGAGGGGATGGGAGGGAAAAAGAGAGGGAGAGAAACATCAATGTGTGGTTGCCTCTTGAGTGCCCTGTACTGGGGGTCTGGCCCGTAACCCAGGCATGTGCCCTGCACTGGGAATCAAACTAGCAACCCTTTGGTTTGCAGGCCGGTACTCAATCCACTGAGCCACACCAGCCAGGGCTCTTTTACAGTAAAATTTTTGAAAACATTATTCTAACAAATTTTGTTATAATGAAAGTAATTTCAATTCATTGTAAAAAATTTGAAAATATAAAAGCAGTATTAAAAAATCACAATAACTCCACCTCTTAGAGAATCAATGTTAACATTTCAATGTTTTTAATATGCATAAAAAGACTTATTTCTTATGCATATAAATATATATTTATTTGAAACAAGATTATATTATACTACTCTTTTTATTTTTTGTGATATTAATTTTTAAAATTATATTTTATTGATTATGCTTTTACAGTTGTCCCAATTTTTCCCCCTTTGTCCCCCTTCCACCCAGCAGCCCCCCTCCCTCAGAAAATCCCCACACCTTGGTTTATGCCCATGGGTCATGCATATAAGCTCTTCGGCTACTCCATTTCCCATACTGTACTTTACATCCCCATGGCTATTCTGTAACTACTAATTTGTACTTCTTAATCCCCTCACCTCTTCACCCATTCCTCCACACTCCCCTGCCATCTGGCAGCCATGAAAATTTTCTCCATAACCATGATTCTGTTTCTGTTCTTCTTGTTTGCTTAGTTCATTTTTAGATTGAATTGTTGATTAATATGTATTTATTGCCATTTTATTGTTCATAGTTTTGATCTTCTTTTTCTTAAATAAGTCCCTTTAACATTTCATATAATAATGGTTTGGTGATGATGAACTCCTTTAGTTTTTTCTTGTCTTGAAAGCTCTTTATCTGCCCTTTGATTCTAAATGGTAGCTTTGCTGAGTAGAGCAATCTTGGCTGTGGGTACCCATTTTTCATGACTTTGAATACTTTTTTAAAAAAGAGATTTAAAAAAAATTATTTGTCTTTAGAAAGGGGAAGAGAAGGGGAAAGAGAGGGAGAGAACATCAGTGTGTGGTTGCATCTTGTGTGCCCCCTGCTGGGGACCTGGCCTGCAACCTAGGCATGTGCCCTACACTGGGAATCGAATCTGCGACCCTTTGGTTAGACCCTCAATTCACTGAGCCACACCAGCTAAGGATCATGACTTTGAATACTTCTTGCCAGTCCCTTCTAGTCTGCAAAGTTCCTTTTGAGAAATCAACTGACAGTCTTATGGGAACTCCTTTGTAGGTAATTATCTGCTTTTCTCTTGCTACTTTTAAGAGTTTCTTTTTTGTCTTTAACCTTTGGCATTTTAATTATGATATGTCTTGGAGTGGGCCTCTTCGTATCCATCTTGTTTGGGATTTTCTGTGCTTCCTGGACTTGCATGTCTATTTCCTTCACCAAATTAGGGAAATTTTCTTTCCTTATTTTTTCAAATAGATTTCCAATTTCTTGCTTTTCTAATTCTGGCACCCCTATGATGCAATCTTGGAATGCTTGAAGTTGTCCCAGAGGCTCCTTACACAATACTCATTTTTTTGGATTTTTTTTCTTCTTGTTGTTCTGATTGGTTGTTTTTCAGTTCCTCATGTTCCAAATCATTGATTTGATTCTTGGCATCATCCACCCTATTGTTGTTTCCCTGTAAATTGTTCTTTATTTCAATTTGTGTATCCTTTGTTTCTGACTGGATCTTTTTTATACTGTTAAAGTCCTCACTAAATTTTTTGAGCACCTTAATAACCAGTGTTTTGAACTCTGCATCTGAAAGATTGCTTATTTCCCTTTTGTTTAGTTCTTTTTCTGGTGTTTTGGTCTGTTCTTTCATTTGGGCCATGTTTCTTTGTCTCCTCATTTTGACAGCCTCTCTCTGTGTGTTTCTATATATTAAGTAAGGCTGCTATGACTCCTTGTCTTGGTATCATGGCCTAACATAGTAGGTGTCCTGTAGTGTCCAGTAGCACAACCTCCCCTATCACCTAAGCTGGGTACTCAAGGTGCAACCTCCATATAAGCTGAGTACACCCTACTCTTAACTGCTCTTGGCAGATCAATGGTAGGGACTTACCCTGACCAGTCAGCTGCAAGGACTGGCTGTGACCATGGGCCACCAACCTTTGCCGCCTGTGGAGGATCAGCTGTGCAGGAACAGGGTGGTGGTGCTCTGATGTGGTTTGTAGCTATCCACTTGGTGCACAGGTTCTGGGGTTTCCTGGGTGGTGCAGGTCAAGGTCAGCCCCCATCTCCATTCTGCCTGCGGCCACCCTGCATGAGCTACAAAGCAATCTGAGATGGCTGCTACTTGTGCTGGGTTTGGAGGTTCCCAGGAGAAGTCAGCTGTGAACCTAGGCTGGCTGCTGCTAGTGCTGGGCATGGGGCCACTTAGCAAGAGGGATGGGGGCTTAGGGCTCACTGAGGCCAGCTGTTGCTTTTTGAAAGGATTTAGGAAGTTCTGAAGCATGTGCCAAGACCAGCTATTCATATGGGAAAGCCACTGTTAATAGCTTGGATGGTTCTGTAAGTTGGGTGCAAGACTCATGGGATCTCCAGGGCGGGGCACACAGTGTTCGCCAGGTTGATGGAGTCTCAGATAAGGCACCCAACTGCTGGCTCTGTGGCTCATTGGGGAGAGAGTTCAGAAAGGGAACAATGTCTTATGCCCCACCTTCTATCTGCCACTGGTGCATTTCAGGCTGCCAACCCCCATGCTGGAGCTCAGACAGAGTGAGTCTGAGTAAGTCCATGTGCAGGTTCTTTAAGAGGAACTGCTGGGGACTCCAGAAGTTTTTTCCATTGACTCAATCTCCACTGATTTTTAAACAGAAGTTATAGGGACTTACCTTAGTGGCACTGGAACTCCGCGCTGGGGAGCCTGGTATGGGCTTGGTCTTCTCATTCTCGAGATATCCCTCTTGAATTTTTACCTACCACACGTGGGCGTGGGACCAGCCCATCTCCATGTCTCTGGCTCTTCTACCAGTCTGGATTGATGTGGTTTCTTTAATTCCATAGTTGTCAAACTTCTATTCAACTCTATTTCTGATGATTCTGAGTAATGGTTGTTCTATAGCTTAGTTGTAATTTTGATGTGGTTGTGTGAGGAAGGGAGCTGTGTTTACCTTTGCCTCTATCTGGACCGAAAGATCTATACTATTTTTAAAACCCGCTCTTTCCCACTCTGCATTTACTCAGTCTTCCACAATCACCTGTTTTTCTGTCATGTCCTCTGCCCCTCAACTCTAAGCTCCTTGAGAACAAGGACTGTGTTTGGATCCCCAGTGTCTAGAATAGTGCCTACCACAAAATGTGCTCAGATAAATATTTGTTGAGTAAACAAAATAGTTGAATACTCTAAAGTTCTTATGGAAGTTTCCTTTATCTTTCCAATCTTTTTTATATAGTTTGTTCAGCAAAGCCTTTTCAAAAATATTTAGGAGAGATTTATTTCATCCCAATGTCAAAATTATCACATATTCTGAACTGGGGAGAGTCTGAATTACAGAGTTTTTTTGCTCTATCTGCACACTACTGAAGTTCAAATATATTAATATACAAATGTTTATTTAAAACTGGAGACCCAGACTTCTGGCCAAGATGGAGGCATAGACAGATACCCTTTGCCTCCTTGCACAGCGAAAAGAAGGACAACAACAAATTTTAAAACAAAAAACAACCAGAACTGCCAGGAAATTGGTCTGACAACCAAGGAGTTAAAGAAGAAACATTCATCCAGACTGGTAGGAGGGGGCGAAGACAGGCAGCGGGGGTGGGGAGGATGCACAGCAAGGCGGCAGCTGGTGGACCAGGAGGTCCCACATTTGTGTGCATATAAACTGAGAGGAACAACTGAGGAGTGAGGCAGACCATGCAATGCAGGGTTCCAGCATGGGAAAAGAAAGCCTCTAAACCTCTGGTTGTAAAAACCTGTGGGGGTTGTGGCAGCAGGAGAAACTCCCTGTCTCACAGGACTGTTTGTTGGAGAGACCCACAGGGTCCTAGAATGTAAACAAACCCACCCACCCAAGAATCAGCATGAGAAGGGCCCAATTTGCTTGTGGGCAGCAGAGGAAGTGACTGAAAGCTGGTGGAGAGCTGAGCAAGTGGCATTGTTCCCTCTGTGACACCTTCCTCACATACAGCATCACGACATAGCCCTAGTGAATACCCAAGGCTCTTCCCCTTACAGTGTAACAGATGCGCAGAGACAAAGAAATATGGCCCAAATTAAAGAACAGATCAAAGCTCCAGAAAGAATACAATGAAGCTATGAAGAGATTGCCAACCTATCAGATGCAGAGTTCAAAACACTGGTAATCTGGATGCTCACTGAATTAGTTGAGTATGATCACAAAATAGAGGGAAAAGTGAAGGCTATGCAAAAGTGAATCAAAGAAAAATACACAGGGAACCAACAGTACAGGGAAGGTAACCAGGACTCAAATCAACAATTGGGAGCAGAAGGAAGACATAAACATTCAACCAGAACAGAATGAAGAAACAAGAATTTAAAACAATGAGGAGAGGCTCAGGAGCCTCTGGCACAACTTTAAACATTCCAACATCCAAATCATAGGGGTGCCAGAAGGAGAAGAGGAAGAGCAAGAAATTGAAGACTTATTTGAAAAAATAATGAAGGAGAACTTCCCCAGTCTGGCCAAGGAAATAGACTTCCAGGAAGTCCAGGAAGCTTGGAGAGTCCCAAAGAAGTTGGACCCAAGGAAGCACACACCAAGGCACATCATCATTACATTACCCAAGATTACAGAGAAGGAGAGAATCTTAAAAGCAGCAAGAGAAAAGGGGACAGTTGACTACAAAGGAGTTCCCATAAGACTATCAGCGGATTTTTCAAAAGAAACCTTGCAGGCAAGAAGGGGCTGGAAAGGAGCATTCAAGGTCATGAAAGGAAAGGGCCTACATCCAAGATTACTCCCTCCAGCAAAGCTATCATAGGTATCATTTAGAAAGGAAGGGAAGATAAAGTGCTTCCTAGATAAGGTCAAGTTAAAGGAGTTCATCACCACCAAGCCCTTATTATACAAAATGTTAAAGGGACTTATCTAAGAAAAAGAAGAACAAAACTATGAACGGTAAAATGACAACAAACTCATAGCTATCAACAACTGAACCTAAAAACAACAACAACAACAACAACAACAACAAAGTAAGCAGATAACTAGAACAGGAATAGAATCACAGAAATAGAGATCACATGGAGGATATTCAGTGAAGAGAGCGAGAGGGGAGAATGGGGGAAAAGGCACAGGGACTAAGAAGCATAACTGGTAGGTACAAAATAGAGTGGGAGGTTAAGAATAGTATAGGAAATGGAGAAGCCAAAGAACTTACATGTATGACCCACAGACATGAACTAAGGGGGGGAATGCTGGTGGGAGGGGGTGCAAGATGGAGGGAAATAAAGGGAATAAAAATGGGACAACTGTGATAGCGTAATCAATAAAGTATACTTAAAAAACTGGAGATTCAGCTGTACAAGACTTGTGAGTTATTGAACAGGGATTCTTTGTGATTTTGGGACAACATAATCTAAAGTGAGACTGCAGATCAAGTTCTGAACCTGCCTACAAGTGTTTCATCCTTAACTTCTCTGAAGGTCCATTTCCTTTTCAAGTGAAAGTGATTCTATCGGCCCTGCCTACATCACAAGATTGTTAATAGGGAGCAAACACAGGCAATATGAAATTGTTTTAAAACTATTCAAATATAGGGGCGATGTAATCTTATGAAAAAAGAGCCTATGATTTGATAACAGATAACATACCTGAAACATTGGCCTAGGCCATCTAGCTTATGTAAAGCTGCTTAAACCAGAAGTGACTGATTTTTCTGCTCACACCCAAAGCACTTTGTTATAGGCTTTTTTAACTGCCAGGAAGTTCAGCACCAAACATAATGCTCCATTGTTATAACCATTTCATCCTAGGTTTGTTTTTCATTATTTCTTCCTCTTCTTTTTATACTTATTGGTTTTTAATTTCCATTTAATGATTTTATTGAATATGCATCTATTTTGTAACAGTTTTCTTGAAGCATAATTCACATGCTATATAGTACATCAATTTAAAATGTTCAACTCAATAGTTTTTAGTGTATTCATAGAGTTGTGCCACCATTACCACAATTTTAGAACATTTTCATTACCACCAAAAGAAGCCCATGCCCTCTATTGGCCACCCATCCCAAGTCTGCTATTCTTCCAGCCTTAGACAACCACTAATCTACTTTTTATCTCTATAGATTTGCCTATTTGGGGCATTTCATATAAATGGAATCACCAGAATGTAGTTGTTGGTGTCTGGCTTCTTGAATTTCACATAATGTTTTCAGGGTTCATCAATGTAGTAACATGTATCAGTACATCATCCCTTTTTTTAAAATTGTGGTAAAATACACATAGACAAACATTTGTCATTTTACGCATTTTTAAGTGTACAATTTAGTATCATTAATTATACTTACAATGTTGTGCAATCATCGCTACTATTTTAAAAATATTTTCTTCATCCCAAACAGAAACTCTGTGTCTAATAAGCAATAATTACAAATTCTCCCCTCTCCCCAGCCCCTGGTACTCTACTAACCTAATATGCCTTCTGTCTCTATATAATTTCCTGTTCTAGGTACTTCATATGAGTAAGGTCATACAGTATTTGTCCTTTTGTGCTTTGGCTTATTTCACTTAACAGAATATTTTTTTTTATCAAGTCTTTAAAAAAAATAATCCTCACCTGAGGATATGTTTCTATTTATTTTAGAGAGAGAGGAACGGGGGGAGAGAGACAGACAGACAGACAGATAGACATTGATTGGTTGCCTCCTGCATGCGCCCCAATTAGGGATTGAACCCACCACCTAGGTATGTGCCCTGACCAGGAATTGAACTCACAACCTTTTGGTGTATGGAATGATGTTCCAACCAACTGAGCCACTTGGCCAGGGCAGCATAATGTTTGTGTCTTTGTTTTTTATTTTTTAAAAGGATTTTATTTTATTTTTAGAAAGGGGAAAGGAGGGAGAAAGAGAGTGACAGAAACATCAATGTGTGATTGCCTCTCACACGCCCCCTACTGAGGACCTGGCCTGCAACCCAGGCATGTGCCCTGAGTGGGAATTGAACTGGTGACCCTTTGGTTCGCAGGCCAGCACTCAATCCACTGGGCTACACCAGCCAGAGCTAATGTTTTAAAGGTTCGTCCATGTTTACGATATATCAGAACTTCATTCCATTTTATGTCTGAATAATATTCCATTGCATGTATATGTAACATTTTGTTTATCCATTCATCTGTTGACAGACATTTGAGTTGTTTCCACTTTTGGGCTCTTATGATTAATGCTGCAGTGAATATTTCTGTACAAGTATCAGTTTGAGTCTCTATTTTAAATTCTTTTGATATACTTTACCTACTTAGGAGCAGAATTACTGGGTTGCATGGTAATTCAATATTTAAATTTTTGAGGAACCACCAAACTATTTTTAAGCATGCATCTTTCGAATATGTTTTAGTCTCTCAAATTTTGAATAAATAAATTAAATGCTCATGGAAGTGTATGGAAGAGTCAGCTTAGTTATCATGGGTGAGGGTAATTCTAGTGCAAGGTATGTACCATCAGATTCTAAATACCAGTTTAAGCACATGGAATAATCTACTCCTTCTGCCTCCTTTCCAGCCCTGCTGCAGATTTGGATCTGAAATCCTCCTCCTCACATTCTGGTCACTCCTCTGAAACCTTATTGCCTGGAGTCCAAAAGGATAAATATCTCGAGTTTAGCTTGCTAAGGTCACAGACAGGTGAGTAGGTCACAGGTCCCCCTCCGCATGCCTCCATGCCCAGGGTCCTTCCACAAGCCTGTCACACGGTTGGGTGCCATGCACTGAAGACCCACTAAGTGCCAGGCATTTGACCCACTTCAGCTCTAACTCTCACAACAACTCTGTTGGGGAAAACATCAGTACCTGTTTTTCAAAAATGAAATGCCTTTATATAAAAACCATAAAATAACTATCAAAATGCTAAAATAATAAAGACATATATAAGGTGTATAAAGAAATCCCTTCCCCAGTATTCTCCAACAATATCCCTGTTCTGCCCCATAGCTGTAAAGTTTAATACACACACTCTTCTTCCAAAATTTTGAAATGCATATGTATTTGTATGTATAGAGAGATGGGTTGTAGTACTCAACCATATTTTCACTAGTAGAAAAGAGTATACAAACTATTTTCACTCACAGTAAATAGATCCTGGACCTCTTTCTGTGTCAATTCATATAGATCTATATGGCCATAGAAACCTACCCATTTTACACAAGAGACTGATTCAGTGGCTGAATCAGGTACACATAGCTAGGATGTAGAGGGCTGGGATTAGAATCCACACTTGCCTGCCTCCAAAGCCTGTGTTTTTTCTTAGCCACCACAGAACCCACATGTTTCTCAAACAACTATACAGTTATTAGGGGATCTTCTATTGTTTAAAATTACTTTAGCAAGTATATAGGAAAAGTATAGAATGAGGAGACAAAGATACTAGGAGGTCCAGTAACCTGCCCGAGGTCTCACAGCAGCCTTTGTCATTCGCCTCAGTCACATGTATACATATTCTGGAGTCACTATAGTGCATGCATGTGCTGTTGTTGCTGCCAACACCTTGCTCCATCCACTTAAGTTCCCATGGTTGGCCCAGCTCCTCCCTGGTTGATGGGCATTCTCTTCTTCCTACCCACTTATCAGAAGATTGGACCATGGATGCTTGTAAAACAGTCTCTGAGCTTCTCAACCTATACATCACTTCCAACCATAAAGTTGGCTTTATGGTTGGAAGAGAGGGTAAATAGGAAAAAGAAAAGATGCTTCTTAGATAGCTTTCTCCCCATTTCCCTTCCTTTGCTGTCTAGCCTAGCTGTACAGAGACTAACACTGCACTGATGCAGAACCAAGGAATTATACACGTTGATAAATGTTATACAGGCAGTGAGTGCCTGGGAGTTTTCACAACCTTGTGTCATTCCATTGCATTATGAAGCTGGGGGCGGTGCTAACGGAAGGATTTCTGATGTCTTTCAGAAGATGGGCAGCGTCCTGAGTGGACCTTTTACCCAAGGTTTAGCAACAGTATCCACACCTACCACATTGGAAAGCAGTGCTTCTTTAACGGGGTCTTCCTCGGCAACAAGAGGTCTCTAGCGGAGAGGACGGTGGACAAGTGCCTTGGGAGGAAGAAATATGGTAAAGTTTTCCTCCTGGCCCTTGGCTGTGCAATGCCTGAAAATACCCTTGAGTCAAGATTCCACAGCCCCAGCTTTCTGCGGCTGGGGACAGCCCTGTGGGGTCACTGTGTCAGCCTATCACAGCCAAGAGGATAGGAAAATGAAGAGGATGGTTGGCAGGCTGCACTTTTTGGCAAAGAACACACAGCATACGCTGAGCCACATTTTCGTTTTTCTCTGAATTTCATGAAATGCTAATGTGACATTTAAGTCATCAGATAAGTTCTCTCAGATACTTATTAATAGAAACCTTCATTGAAGTTTGAAGAAAATCATTTGTGTTTCAGTTAGATGCTGCCTGTCATATGCATTTAAATTGTACTTTATATTCTTTACAAGGAAATCATCCCATGAACAGCCTAAGCGTACATTGTTATTTCATAGCTTATTTAATGAAAGGCAATTGACACGAGCATTTATGTCTGTTTATCTATTACCTACCTACTTATCCATTTGTCTCCCTGGTTTGTAACTTGCTGAGTTGTCTGTCTTACACTATCCATAATTTATTAAAGACGCTAAAGGGTTGCTGAGTATCGCAGACCATTTATGACACACTCTTCTACAGAAATACTTGTGTAGGAGACAACCACTGCTTCAGGAAGGAATAGAATCACTGTAGCGGGGATACAAAGAGAAAGAAATAGAAAGTTCTCATTTTTTAGTTTTAAAATAGGCTTTTAACTCATATCAGTGACAAATAGTTTTGAAAACTAAGGATTTTATTTAGATAGAGGATACATGAAAAGCCAGACTAGAGAAGGTAGGAGGGTAGTTGCTTATATGGGGTCTTTGAGGAACTCAATTCCTGAGATCAAAATCTAGTGGGTAATTGGATGTGAATCCAGCTGGGGCTTGGGGCTGGGGTCGACCCCGGGCCTCAGAGGGAGGGGGCACCTGCCCTGACTCTGGGCCGGAGAGTAGTGATAGCTGTGGGCGATGGACGGGCAGAAAGCCAGTCTCAGGGTGTCACCCACCTGGGCGGTGTGGAAGAATAGCTGCATTTCTGTGCCCTGTGAAGGCTGTGGAGACTGGTTCAGAGACAAACAATGAGAGAAAGAGAGAGCAAGTCAGGAGAGCTGCCCAGGTCTGGCGCTGGAATGCCATGGTATGATGCACTGTGGGTCATCAAACCAGGGATCTACGAGAATAAATTTATGCTTCACTTGATGCATTGTGGAGGGGGATGGCCTCCTGAGGCTCAGACTGGATGCCACATTTTAGCAGACAACAGAAATAGATGCCAGCTCTCAGAGAGTAGCAGAGGTAAGGCAAGCAGCAGATACCAGTATGGTTTGCAGGCAGTAACTCAAGCCCCAAGGCCTTCCACCAAAGCCCTGATGTCATGTAAGCCTGCTGCGCACACTCCTACTTCTCACTCCCACCTGAAATGCAGCCATGGGATAGAACAGGAAGGATTTATTTAACTGGCTTAAATCTGAAACCACTGAGAAAAAGCAAGAAGGGACTAAGTTTCGCTGTATATTACTTACAAATGCTCTTGGCTACAAGTAAGAAAAAAACCCAAATTACCGGAGTCTTAAATCATAAGATATTTATTATGTACCTATTAAGCTTTGAAATCTTGGCAGCCTGCATGGTCTGGTTGCCCAGTAATGTCATCAAAGAAAAGAGCTCATTTTGTCTTTATGCGCTATCATTCTTTGTAGTGTTGGATTTTTGTCTCATCAATTTATGGTCACAAGATAACTGTTGCAGTTCTAAGCATCATGTCTATATTTAAGACCAGAAAAAGAGAAAACTCTGCTGTTGCCTTCCCTTTTAGAAGGAAGAAAAAGTTTTACCATATGGTCCTCAGGAAACTTTCTTCTACTCATTTCTCACTGACCAGAAGTGGGCTAATGACAAGTATATATCAAAAGTGAATGGAATTATGCCCTGGCTGGGTGGCTCAGTTGGTGGGAGCGTGATCCCATACACCAAGAGGTTATGGATTTGATCCCGTCAGGGCGCATACCTAGGGTGCAGGGTTGATCCCTGCTCCAGGCGTGTATGAGAGGCAACCGATTGATGCTTCTCTCTCACATCGATGTTGCTCTCTCTCTCTGAAAATTAATGAACACATCCTCGGAGGACGAGTAAAAAAAAAAAAAAGTGAATGGGATTATCATGATGATCCAAGTCCTAACACTAGCTCATCACGTACCTTTTAAGTCAACTATAAACATTATCCTAAATTTTGTGATCATTCCTTTTCCTTTCTTCCTTTTATGTTTTTAAAAATAAATGCTGAGGTATATTTACTGACTATATAGAATAAAACTTCACACTTAATGGTTCTCACTCCATTTAAGAAATGACATATTATCTTTATATTTGAAGTCTCCAATAAGCCCCTCCTAAAATATATCTTTGCTCCCCCTATGCCAGTGATAATCCCTCTTCTACTTTTATTAAAAAGAAAAACTTTTTATTTATTTATTTATTTACTTACTTACTTATTTATTTTACTTTAGGTCTCTGAGTTTGTATGCCTCCCCTGACTTTGCCAAACTTGGTACGTGGCCTCTTCTCTTTCACAAAGCCCTCTTTAACTGCCTCCTCAGCTGCCTCTAGCAAGACTTTCTATGCTCTATCTATCCTTCCTGCCCTCCTCACTGATTATCTTTCAGGCATGGGTTTGGTTTCTTTTTTCTCTACTTTTGTAAACCTTCTTTCATTATGCTGTAGCTTTGTGCTTCTCCCCTGATTTTTTTAAACTGATTGTTCTTTTTAAAACTCTTAAACTTTTAAAAAAATATATGTTTTATTGATTATGCTATTACAGTTGTCCCATTTTTTTCTCCACTTCATTCCCCTCCACCCTGCACCACTCTTCTCTCTAGCATCCTCCCCACCCCCCAGTTAGTTCATGTCCATGGGTCATACATATAAATTCTTTGGCTTCTCCATTTCCTATACTATTCATAACCTCCCCCTGCATATTTTGTACCTATTATTTATGCTGCTTATTCCCTGTACCATTTCCCCAATTCTTCCCCCTTCCCCCCTCCGCCCCCCCATCTCTGTTTCTATGATTTTATTCCTGTTCTAGCTGTTTGCTTAGTTTTTTTGTTTTTGTTTTTTAGGTTCAGTTGTTGATAGTAGTGAGTTTGTTGTCATTTTACTGTTCATAATTTTGTTGTTCTTCTTTTTCTTAGATAAGTCCCTTTAACATTTCATATAATAAGGGCTTGGTGGTGATGAAGTCCTTTAACTTGACTTTATCTGGGAAGCACTTTATCTGCCCTTCCATTCTAAATAATAGCTTTTCTGGAGAGAGTATTTGGATGTAGGCCTTTTCCTTTCATGACTTTGAATACTTCTTTCCAACCCCTTCTTGCCTGCAAGGTTTCTTTTGAGAAATCCGCTGATAGTCTTATGGGAACTCCTTTGTAGTCAACTGTCCCCTTTTCTCTTGCTGCTTTTAAGATTCTCTCCTTCTCTGTAATCTTGGGTAATGTAATGATGATGTGCCTTGGTGTGTGCTTCCTTGGGTCCAACTTCTTTGGGACTCTCCAAGCTTCCTGGACTTCCTGGAAGTCTATTTCCTTGGCCAGACTGGGGAAGTTCTCCTTCATTATTTTTTCAAATAAGTCTTCAATTTCTTGCTCTTCCTCTTCTCCTTCTGGCACCCCTATGATTTGGATGTTGGAATGTTTAAAGTTGTGCCAGAGGCTCCTGAGCCTCTCCTCATTGTTTTAAATTCTTGTTTCTTCATTCTGTTCTGGTTGAATGTTTATGTCTTCCTTCTGCTCCCAATTGTTGATTTGAGTCCTGGTTACCTTCCCTTTACTGTTGGTTCCCTGTGTATTTTTCTTTAATTCACTTCTGCATAGCCTTCACTTTTTCCTTTATTTTGTGATCATACTTAACTAATTCAGTGAGCATCCAGATTACCAGTGTTTTGAACTCTGCATCTGATATGTTGGCTATCTCTTTATCACTTAGTTCTATTTTTGGAGCTTTGATCTGTTCTTTCATTTGGGCCACATTTCCTTGTCTCAGCATGCCTGTTACATTGGGAAGGACAGAACCTTAGGTATTTGCCAGGGAAGAAAAACTTTTTATAAAGGACATTTTCAAACATGTGCCAAAGTAGAGAGAAGAGCATAATGTAACCAGATGTACCTATCACTTAGCTTCAACAATTATCAACATGTGACTAATCTTGTTTCATTCAGGGACTGTTTTAAAACAAGTTTCAGACATTATATAGTTTCATCTGTAAATATATCCGTATGTACCTCTAATAGATAAGGATCATGCCATTTTCATATTTCACTAGTATCACCAAATATTCAGTGTTCAAATAGACAGTTGCTTCACAAATGCCATAATTAAAGAATATTTACAATTTGTTTGAATTAGGATCTAAATAAGGTTCACACTTAGCAATTAGTTGAAAAGTCTCTTCAGCCTCTTTTAATATATAGGTTCTCATCCTCCTCCCCCCTCTTTTTTGAGTTCCAAATACACTGCACATTTGTACCTTAAAGACACCCTCTGGCCCCAAAGCCCAGCCTACAGACCGTCTCCTGGGTGACAGGGCCGGGAAAGCTGTAACAGGTCTGAGTGCAGGAGGACCAAGCCCCCTTGAAGCAGGCCCCTGTCCCAGCCGCAAACCAGAGCAGTCTGCTCCTGAGAAGGACCCAGAGAGAACGCTTTCTCTCTCAAATCTGGTACACAAGGACCAGGACACCAGAGGGTAGCCGAGTGCAGCCAAACCAAGCAGGAGTGGGCAGGCCTGGAATCCAGACCCCAGGCCCATAGACAGGTGGGCAGTCAGGGAAGCAGGTGTAGGGCAAACTGTGCAGGACACCACAGAATTGCCTCCTTTTTTTTTCTTGCAATTTATTTGGTGAAAAACTAGGTCATTTGTCCTTAGTCTAGAATTTGCCGCAGTCAGGATTTAGCTGATTACATTCCTTGATACCATTTAACAGTTTCCTTTGTCCTGAGTATTTCTTGAAAACTGAAACTTGATTTATCGTAGTGACTACTTCTCCTCCTTCTTCTTCTTCTCCTCTTCCTTCTTCTTCTTTAAAGATTTTATTTATTTATATCTAGAGAGAGGGGAAGGGAGGGAGAAAGAAAGGGAGAGAAACATCAATGTGTGCTTGCCTCTCAAGTGCCCCCTAATGGGAATCTGGCCCGTAACCCAGGCATGTGCCCTGGCTGGGAATCGAACTGGTGACCCTTTGGTTCACAGGCCGGCACTCAATACCCTGAGCCACACCAGCTAGGGCTATCTTAGGATGATTACTTCTTAGGTGATGTCGTGCAATGACTTCTTTAAACATCAAATGCAGTGGTCTTTTCCCACTTCTCTTTCTTGATTTTCTGCAGCACTTGATATTATTAAGCTTGACATTGAATACTTATTCCTTTGTGAAAGTCTCTCCTCCCTCATTATTTTCTTTAAAAAAAGTTAAATTTTTTCTATTAATTTGACATTCAATATTATATTAGTTTCAGGTATACAACATATTGATTAGGCATTTATTTAATTTATGAAGTGCTTCTCCCAATAAGTATAGTATCCACCTGGTACCATACCTAGTTATTACAATATTATTGACTGTATTCCCTATGCTGTATTTTACATCCCTGTGACTATTTTGTAACTGCAAATTTATACTTCTTAATACCTTTACCCTTTTCACCCAACCTCCCAATCTTCTTCTCATCTGACAACCATCAATTTGTTCTCTGTATTTAACTCTCTTTGGTTCTTGAGCAAGATGGACAGGCAGCTTCAGGGACTACCATTATGAACTGGAATCAACACATTGTAGAAAAAAAAATTAATTAATTGTTGACTCCCAGCAGCTATGATCAGGCTATTGGTGGAGTTCTCTAAAGGCTTAATTTGATGTCATAGGTGGAAGAACAAAATGTTGCCTATGAGTATAGGTTGTAGGGAAATAGATCTGAAAAAATATTTTTTCTCTTGGATAGGTCTTCCTGCAATAGAGCATATTGTAGCAGTCAGAATAGGATGGATTCTGCTGCAGTAACAACCAACCTCTGAAATCTTGGCAGCTTAACCAAACTTTACTTCTACCTCTTGTAAAGTCCACTGTGGATCCAGCAGCTCTTCAGGGCAGCTCCCTCCCAAACAGTGACTCAAGGATCTCTTTTACTTTCACCCTGTGACTTCTCCATCTCAACATGTAGCTCCCAAGGTTGCCATAGCAGGAGAAAGAGAAAGTGCTGGAGAGTCACACATCAGCTCTTAAATACTTCTTTCTGGATGTGGCACACATCACCTCTGCTCAGCAACCTATTGGTTAGAATATGGCTCTACCTAATTGCATTGGAGAGACTTGGGATAGAATATGTAATTTTGGTGAACAGTTTGCAACTTCATATGTTTCTTTGATTTTAATGTGTTTATCCCATTTTCTACCTCCTGAATGTCTTCATAGCTAGGAGATTGGATGGTTTATCTGAAGCATAAACAAGCATGATGTGTTATGAGTCTATCAACTCTTGATACACAGTGGCCAGCACTTTGGGCTGATACCTGTTTTTGTGGAATATTCAGAAATTATACCAAGATCCTATATTATGCCTAATAACTTAAACAAACATCTTATTTTAGAGGTGTTGTTTGGGAGGTTTTCCCCTAAAAGTAATGCTTTATACTTGGACACAAGCCACTAGTTCTTTTTCTACTTGCTGACATTATCTTGTGAATTCTAGTAGATTTCTAGGTGTTGTCCTCAGACCACTTGTATCATAATCAGCTGGAGAGTTTATAAAAAATGCTGGCTCTGGGAACTACTCTAGACTTTCTGAAACAGAATTTCTTAGGTTGGGACCCAGGAAGCTGCATTTTTAACACATTTCCTAGAGGATTCTGAGGTATGCTAAAATTTTAGGACTACTGTTCTGTAGTATTTGGCATTTACCACCTAATTTAATATTATTTAATCTCCTTATCTCCCCTTCTAGATAAGATTCCCTAGGAAAAGGTTTCCAGGGGTGGTTAACTTTTTGGTGTCTCTGGGTCACATTGGAAGAAGAAGAGTTGTTTTGGCCCATATATTAAATACACAAACACTAATGAAAACTGATGAGCAAAAAAAGGTCCATGCATAATTCTCGTGATATCTGCCACCACAGATTAAAAAAAAAATCCTTACATAATAACCCTACTTATGCAGCATCCTTTTGATAATCTTTTAAAATCCTTGAGTAGGTCCCAAGTTTGTGATCACTAATATAGAAAATGTACATATCTAAGTAATAAAACTTAGTATAAAACTTAATAATAAAACTAAGTAATATTTTAAGTTAATTTACGATTTTGTGTTGGGCCACATTACTAGCCATACTGGGCTGCATGTGGCCTGCTGGCCACAGGTTGGACACCCCTTGTTTATACCTTTGCTAGATGGCAATTGTATTTTCCAAAGTAAAAAACAAATTTGCAATGGGGGTGGTATTAGCCTAGTCCTGATTTCAAATAATAATAACAAACGTTACTTGAGTGCCGATTATTGGTCCAGATTATTCTAATTTACTATTCGTGATAACTCTGCAAAGTAGACATTTGAAATAAACAGTTTAAACAGTTTATAAATGGGGCTTAGGGAAATTAAATAGCTAAAGGGAACAGAACTAGAAACTACAGAACTGAATTTGCACTTAGGAAAGACTAACTCCAAGGTCTTAGCCCTTCTCGCTACTTCTTGCTGTCGACCGACCCTTACCTGTTAGTGCTCTGGTTTGGGATTCAAAAGACAGGGTCACTACGCTGTTCTTGCTTGGAACCCTTCACGCTCATACCTGGCAGGCACTCCATCCATGGGTGTAGTTGATGCTATTTCACCACACTTAAGGGCTAATAAAAGTTCAGATGAAGAGTCTTAGCAACTGAAAAGGCTTTTGAAAGCAAATAGTTAAAAAAATAAATCCTCCAGTGCTTCTACTTATGGTGAGATGGCTTCTGTGAGTTAGCCAGAGGAAAATAGCTTATCAAAAACCCTAACTCTTCCTTTGGCTTGCCTCATGGATACTATTGAATTGAGTGATAGCAAAATAAGCACCTAAAAAGAAAACAGCTGGATGTGTGAACTAAGATGGGGGACATGGCCTCCAGCCAGGCATCCCTGCTTCTAATTGTCACCACTCAGAAACATTATTTTCTTTAATCTGGTCTTTCCTTTCCTTTCCTTTTATCTTTTGACTCAGACTGGCCTCACCTAGCACTTTGGCTTACCCACCTCCCTCCCCCTTGCTTAAGCATTAAGCCCTCAGCCAAGCTCTGGTCAGCATCCAGTAAGGAGTCTTAGTCCTGGGTCTATTGATCAGAGAGACAGAGTTTTCAGTCAAACTAAAGATAATATCTTGGCCTCAGTTGTGTTTTAGCTCCATGTCCAGAAAAGCAGGATGATCCCACCAAACGAAATCCTTGCAAACTCAGAAAGAACAGCTTCATGGCTGACATTAGGACCGGATGCAATGATCAATTACCTGCTACCCTAGCAGCAACCAATCAGTAGAGACCATGATCCTAACTCCTTTAGTCACCACGATTAATGATTGTTTCCCTATAGAATCCGTCCCTTGGAAGCCATTGGGGAGCCAGGTCTTTGCGCATTAGCTCACTTGTGACTTTGGGCATGGTACCATCTCCTTAATAAATCCTTATTTTCTTGGCTGCAAACTCCTGTTTGTGTCTTGTTGGGCTTTGATGAGCGCGGGCAAATGGACCCCTTCAGTCCAGTAACGTGAGCCCAAGGCTGGTTAGTTGTGTAGTACAGGCTTGTTCTCTTAGGTGCATCTGGTGTCAGATGTGTGGGTTTAAATGACTCTTGCACCAGCTGCTTCCTTTCAAGCTTAAGTGATTACTTGTTTGTTACTTGTCCCTGGGGTGTTTGAAGGGGTTGCATTGAGTGTCATAGTAGCAGCTGAGTAAGCATTGTGTGCTCGGCAGTGGCGGGCCTTCTCCTGGCTCTTCATCAGGAAGGCCACTTTCTGCAGCTGCACTGCCCCAGTCCTTGAAGCAGCAGGAGAAGCAGGACTCTCATTGGCTGATTTCTTTCTGAGAACCCGAAAGGCAGAGCAGTTAATGACAGTTGCATCTAGAGCTTTATAGGACTCAGGGATTCAAAGAGCACTAATGGTCAGAGGTGAAAAGATTAAAGTCTGAGTCCTTGCTCATTTTTGCAGAGATACCTCTGATTCATCATTCATTTTAATCCACACCTCAGGTATTCTCCTTTCCCAGGGTAAGATAATCATAACAACACCTTTTAGAAAATGTCCCAAACATAGGTTCACACTTTTATCTTTTCTCCTCAAGGTAAGAAAATTACAAACAGAACTTTAAGATACCTTTATGTACCTCATAACAAAGTACTAAATTATTTTATTTCCATTGTCATGTCAACACTTACAGCAAATCTGTGGATATCTTTAGCCATTTTTGTGATTTTTAAAAAACATCTTTCACAGATATTGATCCCAGGAATGGAATCCCAAAGTTAACCCCAGGAGATAATCTATATATGTACCCAGAACAGAGTAAAGACTTCCACAAAGTAGGGTCAACTCTCCCACCAGTGAATTTTTCATTGTAAGTATATCCTAATGCTAGGGTTATTTAGTAAAATTTAAAGGAATGATATTTTTCTCTACTACATGTAAATTATATTTTACAAGGGGTAGATCTCAACAAAATATAGTTGGTGAAAATTTCTAAAAAGTCCATATTTACTTTGTTAGTGTATGCATACATATGAGTGTTTAATTAAAATTATACACAGGACCTTTACTACAAAAAAGTGGTTTTTAATTTTATTCCTATTGTTATTACTACAAATCTGAAGATATTAAATTTCATACCTTATCAGCTTATTGATTAGTGACTGCTAGTTGGGTTCATTTACACTTGGAACTAAACTTAGACCAAAGTGATTGAGGAGAAAGGGAGGGTCATTAAAAGAAAAATAGTTGATGTACTGTATTAAAAATATGAATGAAAAAATTAAGTATGTTTGATTTAATAATGTTCACTAAAAATGTAAAGCTAATAAGAATTATGGCTCTTACAGCTTTGAAGCCCATACATGACAATTAAAATAGAAAATAACACATTTTATTGAACACAGTGATGTATTGATCTCTTTGCCATAGAAGAAAGCCAATTTTACGGTCACCTTTTCTGTTTTCAGAGTGCCGTATGAAAAGAAATTTGATACATTTATTCCACTTGAGCCTCTTCCACAAATTCCCAAGTGAGTGTTCTGATCATGTTTTTTATTATCCTATCTTTGTGAAAATATCAATTATTTATTATTTCCTCCTATGGAAGAACTCACAGACACTCTACACCCAGGGACATTTTGAATCCCAGCAGGTCGGTGGGGCAGTTTGTATGGAGGACTTTTGGTGAGACACTTGGAAACAGGTGTCTGTGGAATCTAACAGCTGGGCTGCTCAGAGATATAATCGACAGACTACCAGATATCATGTAGTATGTTAGGTGTGCACTGTTTGGGGGCGGGGTTGCACGGAGCTAAAAGACAGGGTCCCTGATTTCTGAAACACAAGAGTTTGTTGGCAAAGAAAGACACATACTTAAATGAGTGCAGCCAGGGAGGATGGTTAGAGTTTGAAAAGGCAGAGAGAGACAATGGAGTATTCTGTATTTGATGAAAGTATCTCTGCTCTCGTATTTTTCCTTAGTTCCATTCTGAACTTTGCTTATTTACCCAAGTAAAGTTCTAACCTAGAAAGAGACATGTGTCAGTATATCGATTGCTCTTTGTCCTGCTAGTTTTATTTGGGCTTCTCCTATTGTTTTGTCTTTAATGATGGCCTTGAATTATAACTTTGACTCCCACCTATTGTCTATATGTTAATTATCCTCTTCCTCCTTGCAAGGACTTTCCTACCCTCAGCAGGCTTATCAGGGCTTTTCCTCAATCACAGTGCATTTCTCTTTTAAAGGATGGAAGTTCTAACTGCCAAAACATAAAAACATTCTTTATCTCCCTGCTTCAACTCATCCCATGATATCTGCACACACAGTGCAGCCCAGCATGTGCCATTTCAAATCTCAACAGGCCTGGGAGGGCCCTGGGTATCTGCATTAGCTGACGTCCCAGTAGAAATCAGGAGGCACACTCAGCTAGGATTCTGAAGGCAGTTCAATGAAGGAACTGCTACGGATGTGTAAGCAGGTTGAGAGAACTCACATGGGAGGGTGAAGCACCCAGGGGCTCCCGACAGTGGGAAGCTCTTACTAGTCCTAGTTCTGAGCAGCTAGAGGTGGGATCATGGATCGCAGGGCAGTGGGAGACAGAGGGTTGTGGCAATGGAGAAGGCAGCCCTGCCAGAACCGGAGTACCTCAGGAGGCGGGCAGGAAGTAGGTAAGGAATATCCCAAGGGCACTCTTCTCACCTTCTGACTTCCTGTTGGTGCCTCTCATTCACCCAGCCCCCGCTCACAACGGGGCAGGGCGGAGTCAGGATGATGGCAGCTGCAGGGTCTGCTTCCTGGACAGAAAAGGGCAGAAAAAAGATCTGGGTTTGGGCAGGGGCAAATGGTGAACAATAAACATGGAGCTTAGGCGTGGGTGGGGCGAGGGCAAGTGGGGGCGGGAAAATGGAGAAAACTGTACTTGAACAACAATTTAAAAAAAAAAAGAAATGCCCATATGCTATATATCACAAATTCTATTTTAAAATTGGTACATCTGTTAAAAAAAATCAAGTTCACATGGGCAAAAAAATTAACATGGAGTTTTATTTTGACACTGATCTAAACTGGAGGCCTTCCTACTGACCTTGTTTATAAATTTTGCTTCAGATGAATGCAAACTCAGGGTGTTTTCTTCCTACAGCTTGCCTTTCTGGGTAAAGGAGAAGGCCAACATGCTGAAGAATGAGATTAGAGAAGTTGAGGAACTTGACAATTGGCAGCCAGCGATCCCTTTGATACACAGTTTATTCTCTGCTGGTGGGTCAAAGAACCTTCAAAGAATAGCATAAAAACTGGAGGCAAGCCTAGAACAGCAGGCATTTGAGAGGCTTTCCTATGGAGAGGATGAAAGGCAGAGCCGCTCCCAGAGTGGATGGTGTCTTTAAGCCCCAGGTGGTCCCTTGGGCAGGTGTCCTGGCCGCACTTCATGGGTTGAATGGTTGTTTTTTGTTTCTAAAGATTATTTATTTATTTATTTTTAGAGAGAGGGGGAGGGAGGGAGGGAGAAAGAGAGGGAGAGAAACATCGATGTATAGGAGACATCGATCGATCGATCAGTTGCCTCTCACACACACTCCAACCAGGGCCAAGTGTGCAACCCGGCAGGCAAGTGCCCTGACCTGGCTGGGAACTGAACGACACTCAACGAAGTGAGCCACACCAGTGAGGGGGAGAACTCTAAGTCTTTTAATGGAACACAACCTTTAACTTCGTGCCTCTATCCACAGGTGCTTTGGACTTTCCTAGACAATCCTGAGCAGAAACAGGCCCACAGAGCATACGCCAAGCATTTTGGGGAGTCTCTTTCAGTTGACTGCTTCTGTCACCGTGGCTGTTCTCAATCAAATGTTTGACTTTGATCAGGAATCACTGTGCTTTGCTTTTTTTTAACTTTATATTTTGAAAACTTTCAAACTGGCAGAAAAATTACGAGAATTGTACTATGAACAAATACCTACATATCTTCCACCTAGGTTTTATGATTGTTAGCATCTGTCCAAGTTTGTGTGCATGCTCTCTCTCATATTATGCTACTATTATTTTGCGGAATCATTCAAGAGTAAATGGCAGACATCATAACCCTTTACTCCTGCATATGTATAAACTTCAGTATGTATCTCCTAAGGCCAAGGATATTTTCCAACAATCACAATACAAACAACAAATTCAGATAATTTAACCTTGATACAATGCTCCCACTATACAGTCCACATTCAGTTTTATTCAGTTAAATTTAGTTTTCTAAGGATGCACTCAAATCAATGGTAAAATGCGGACATTTGAGCTTTCATTAATTTTAGTAAAATTATTTGAATTTCATTAATGCCTTTTGAGATTTTTCTCTACTATTCACTTGATACATGTCAGAAAAATGTGCAGGCTGGCTCTCCACCAGGTAATTAGTGCTAGTGCCTTGTGGCTCTATTCCACATTTCAGTGCTGTCTGTCCACACAGCCAAGCAGAATGACAGCTCAGTGAGCACCAGTCATGAATCTAAGGGTCTCTCATCAATCAGGCAGGAAGCAAACATTTGAAGGAAAAGGTGTGTCCAAAAGCCACCCTTGTACAGTCAGGCCGTGAGTCTCAGCAATCAAACCAATGACCCGGCATTTTCTCAGCAAAGCTCTTCCATTAAGGAGCCCCCACTGGTTGGCTTATGAGGAGTGCAGATCTGACCTCCCCAAAATCGTAGAGTGGAAAGAGAGATTTGGGGCCCATGCTGAGACTCAAAGTGTCCAAGACATGAGACACAATTTCTTTTCCTGTCAAAACATTGTCTTCATACACAGCCAAATCGAGTGAAGCACATCCACGCTCTCTTCATATGTGCCTTTATTTATTTTTTAAAGATTTATTTTATTTTTAGAGAAGGGAAAGGAGAAAGAGAGAAACATCAAAGTTTGGTTACCTCTCACGCACCCCATACTGGGGACCTGGTCTGCAACCCTGGCATATGCCCTAGACTGGGAATCAAACTGGCGACCCTTTGCCTCGCAGGCCAACTCAATCCACTGAGCCACACCAGCCAGGGCATACAGGTCTTTAGATGAACTAGTAGAGGACATGTGGCTACTGGCAGCAACTGTGCCCGACCGATCCTCAAGTTAACATCAGCATACCTTTCTGCTAATTCTCTTACCTCTGGGACACAAGGTCTGTCCTGCTACCCAACAAAATCCAGGGAAGAAAATAAAACCAAATAATTTAGAAACAGAAACAAAAAAGGTTGCCAACAGATTTTCTCAAACACATTAACTTCTTAAAAAAAATATTTGTGTGCTTCTGTTACTTAAAATAAAAGATGTCAACTGCAACCACCTATGTGAGTGGATAATGGAGAACACAGCATAGAAGTTCCAAGGTTCTGCAGGAGTTTCTAGATGGAATTATTCAGGTGGAACTGGAAACTGCTCCCATGAGGGAAGGCACCCTGTACAGTAAAGGGATTATGAAAAACAACCAACCAGTTTCAGAAGATTTGTAGTAGTCTTCAGTTTTCAACAAGGTCTATATTTATCCTGGATGCTGCTCTATGCCTGAGTAGATAATATTTTAAAAAATTATTACATTTCTAAAGTTTCTGGGCCAAATTCTATCCCCTAGAAATCAGGGTACCTTTAACTGTATTTGGGGTTTTTTATGGGCACATCTCAGTGGCCAGACCTTATTCCATGGCACTCCCAGTGGCTGGCAGGCAAAGAGTTCCATCAGTACTTCTAGGTCATATGTGCACACATGTGTGCTTTGAGGAGACTAAAGTATAGGGTGTCCAACCTGTGGCCTGTGGGCCACATGTGACCCAGGATGGCTATGAGTGCAGCCCAGCACAAAACCATACTTTTAAAGCGTTATGAGATTTTTTTTTTTGTGATTACATGTCACAATGTATTTAATGCATAGCCCAAGACAACTCCTCTTCTTCCAGTGTGGCCCAGAGATGCCAAAAGTTGGAAATCCCTGGAGGGAGGAGAATGTGCGTCATATCTCTTCTATCCCTTTCTTCTCTCTAGGCCCAAAGAGGTTGAACCTCCTAGACATGAAGGTCCTCTTCATCTCACTTTAGGTTCTTTGGTTAATAAAAATGTGTGTGTACAGGTGTATGTGCTTGTTTATTACTTTCAGTAACTGAAGTTTGCAGGTTTAATAAAAAAACTGGTATAGGACATTGACAAGTAAATTTATTAGAGTACCGGCTTACATTGAACATAAGGTATTCTAATTTCAGATCCTGAGAAAAATGAAAAAGGGCCTCTGTACACTGGAGGAAACATTGTTACGCAGCTAGTGGCACTAAAGTCCAAGTAAGCTAAACGAAGACAGTTCCAAGACTGTGTCTATAGTCTCTGCACTCTAAGTTATCCAAATATTAAGATATTAGGGTATTTAACTTTTAAAATTCCACAGATGATTTAGGAATATTTTGTACGATTCCATTGTGTGCCTTTCTAGTTTGAGGTATTCAGTTTGGTTAGATGGACTCCTTCTGTTCTTAGGCACTTGGCCCTCAAAAGTTAGGTAGGAAAGCAGCTTGTTTATAGGATTTGGCTTGGTGAAGTATTTTAGCATTGGATCTCTCCAAGATCATGGCAGTGGACTAGCGAGGCTTTTCTTTCCTGGCTGGAAAATCAGGAGTGGGTGATACTTCAGCAATGTGCCAGACATGGGACAGTGCACCTTTTAGCGGGGTACTGGCCAAGTTCCCAGTGGGCTCTGGGAAAGGATGGGGAGCCTTCTTGAGATATTGGGAAACTCCAGGATGGGTTATAGCCTGAGCCCACCGTGGGTGGTGGGGTGGGGCACTACTGACTTGAGAAGCCAACACTTGGACTTTGTGAGAAATACATACGTGACAAGTAAACAACTCCTGTGCACGGAGAGTCTCAGCCTCATATCAAATAAGAAACCATATATCCCAATGACTTGTCTTCCAAGGAAATGTATCTGCCTCCACCAAATATGGAGAGAGGCGGATTCTAGTGGTGACTGTGAGTGTGTGATCATCTGGCTAGAAATGTGTTCTTTCGGGTGCAGAAATTGGGGTTCTCTTACAAAGGGAGGACAGAATGGATGCATGGGGCAGTTACACTAAAAACTATTTATCTGAAGTTCAAATTTAACCACGAGGTCTTGTATTTTTATTTTCCAAATCTGGCAACTTACAGCAGGGGTAGCACAAAGGAGGTGGATTTGATGGTTAACTGAAAGGTAAAAATGGCAAGACTCTGGATGGCTTGGATATGGGTGGGGGAATGTATGGGAGAAGTGGCAACAAGGTAGATGGTGCTGTTGCCAGGGCAACACGTGGCATCTTTATACACCTAGAGAAAGATGCTGTCTTTGTGGACAGTCCTGTGGACATACCACTTGGTGAGCAGTGTGCAAGGTAGATTTCAACCCCATTTGTGCCTTGTGTAGTGAACTACTTACACAACCATACACAGCAGCCTGGTGCTATTCACCGAATTAAGGAACGCTGTATAGATATTCTGGGGGAGAACTCAATTTTGAGAAGCTGAAATTGAGGAAACTGTGATAGAACTGTTCAGGATGTAGCTGGGCATCTGAGTCTGCGGTCTGGTATACGCATGTGAACAAATCTCTTCTGAGAAATGCAAATCCCAAGCCTGTGCCATGTTGATGCCGGGTCTAGATGTAAATGACTTGACTGGAATATAAATCCCAAAACGAGAAATGAGCTCAAGAAGACTCTTGAACCTCTGGGGAAAAAGCAAATTCTGTGAAAAAGCAAATTCTCTTTGGGAATACTTCACCATGTCAGGGCAAGGAGGATTCCCTAGGAATAACACCCATGAAGATGAGCTTCTGAGAAAAAAAAATTCCAAAGTATCACGGGATGCACCACAAGGAAGTCTCAGTAGGTGAACCTCAAGCCAATTAACATGATTAGTAATAGTTAGCAATATGATATGAATTACCAGCATTTGGGTGCATGGAATTCCATTTTGTAGTAATTTGACACCCAGACATTAATTCCTCCCAATACCAGCTGAGGGATTTCTAAATGGGAGGGAGGGGCTGTGGGGTGGCAACCTGGTGGATGGGGTGGGGCTAGAAGACTTGTTTTGAAATTGTATTCAAAGCAGCACAGTGTTTCTATTTAAATTCCATCTATTTATTTGAAGGGGGGAAATGAAGATTATTGGGGTGGCTAATCCCAGACCCTAATCATGCCTTATTGTTGTCGTAGGCTTTTGATACTAATTTGAGCCCTTTCCTGGACAGCTTCTTGATGGCAAAAAACTGGATGAAAAGGAAACTAGAATTTTGATTGTTTTCTCTACTAAGCCGAATTAGCTCAGGCAGAACAAGCTCTCCAGAAGGGATGAGGGGTGAGGAAGCTGGGGGTAAAGCAACCTACAAAACCATAAGCAACCCTCCTGCTTACACATCTCATTACCCCCTTGTAAACTGGCTGGACCTCCAACCTCTTTTCCTTGGGCCAGAGTTTCCCAAATTGTGTTTCCTGCATATTGACAGAGATAAGAAAAAAGGTTTCCATTGTCAGAAATTAGTTTGAAAATGCTATGTCAAAAAAGGAGTGTATTCGTTTCCTAGGTCTGCCATAACAAAGCACAAACTCGGTGACTTAAAACAAGAGAAATTTATCCTCTCACAGCTTTGGAGGCTGGACGTCTGAAATCAAGGCGCCAGCATGGTTGGCTCCTTCATGGAATGTATTCCATGGCGCCCTCCTAACTTCTGATGCTGCTGGCCGTCCTTGGCATTCCTTTGGCCTGTAGATCTATCTCTAATCTCTGCCTCCTTCTTTACATACTGTTCTCTTTGTGTGTCCACATCTCTTTCCTTTCTATAAGGATTCCAGTCATTGGACGACCTCATCTTCACTTGATTACATCTGCAAAGACTCTTATTTCCAAGTAAGATCATATTTATAGGTACCAGAGAATAGGACTTTGAAAGTATCTGTTTGGGGGATGCACTTCAACCCCCAAAAGGGAGACTGATTTTTTTCATCTTACAACTTCTTACAGGCTTTAATCTTGGCGACTGTGAAAGGGAGCTGATAATGTGTTTTTTTTTTTTCAAAGTCAACTTGTTTATTTTTAATGGAGTATCCCAGTGTTCTGAGGAACATATTTGGGTGAGTGAGGAAGAAGTGGGGGCTCTTTCTCATTGAGCCTCTGTTCAGAAATGGCAATTCACAAGATTCACAGTGACTGATGGTACCGTTTGGTTGCCTGTTGGTGACTGTTCATTATGGCTGCCTTGCAAGAGATCCTTGGCAGCCCCTAGGGTGGAGATGGCCTCTGTTTGGGAACCCCGAGGTCTGGGTGGTAAGGCTGGGGTGATATGGTGGGGTACACTGGTCTATCCAAGCAATGCTAGGGAACAGCCTCTGGTGATCATGGTTATGGGGCTCTGGTTTTAGACATCCTAGAACTGGCATGATGTTGCATTTTATGAATCCTGAAATGGAATATGCAGTCTGCACCTTCAGGGTGCCTTAGGGGACATTTCACAGGGCTGCTCTATCTGGATGGGCAGGGTGTACAACACATGCCTCTGGGGGACACAGTTCACACTGTAGACATGGTAGATCCAATCTCCTTGTAATAGGAGTGTCCTGTTCTTGATCTTGCTGTCTTGCGGTGGGTCTTGGATTTAGAGGAGGCAGTCGCGAGGGCGTGGGGAAAGGTGGGGTGAGGGGGTGAGGCCCCATCTAGTGCAGTGAAACGCTCCCTGACTGTTCCACAGCGTGGGGCGGCGTTAATGTGGTGTCGGAGGGATGTCCGCCTTCTCTGAGGTGGCGCTGGAAGCTGGGGGAGTTGAGCAACTGGCAGCTGAGGGTGCAGACCCTGTCCCTGTGGCTCATCCACCGCCACAAGCACTTGCGCCCTATCGTGACCGTGTGGAAACAGGAGCTGCCTAGAGCCAAACCAAACAGGAGGCTCACTTTTCTTTACTTAGCTGACATGTTTCAAGTGAAACTGATGAAAATTTTAAGAACCTTGGAAGAGTGTTATCTATTTGGGAGGAAAGGTCTGTTTATGAAAATGATGTATTAAACAACTTGGGCACACGCTTTGTATGGTGACAAGAAGGCTAGGAAGCGAACTTAGGAACAGATAAAGATGGGCGAAAGTGAAAACTGTTCCTCTCTGGGATCTCCAAGTGTCTCATTAGAGCATTACAAGATCTAGAAAATGCTGCTTCAGGTGATGCAGCAGTTCATCAGAGGATAGCTTCTTTACCCGTTGAAGTCCAAGAAGTATCCCTACTAGATAACAGATAAGGACTCTGGAGAAAGGCTTTCTGCAATGGTAGAGGGTGCTTGTATGTTGCTGGCAGATTACAATGGCAGATTGGTGTCTGAAATAGATGATAGGAATGTTAGCAGACTTTTTTCACTGTCAAAAGGAAGCCCTTGCAGAGAAAGAGCATAAATTGCAAGAACATAAACGCAAGTTAGCCAGAGTTTCCCTAGTGTGCAAAGAACTCAGGTCCCGGATCCGGAGTCTGCCAGACTTATCTCAACTGCTCAATGTCACTGGCAGCCACATGCACTTGCCCTTTGCAGGGGACATCTACAGTGAAGATTGATGACTAGTCTCTTTCCAGGGCCCAGGACTTTGCAGGAGATGGAGACAGGTTTGGTGCATAGTCCTGTAGTGTTATGTTTGTATAGTGTTGAGAGGGACACTTAATGACAAAAAAAGACAAGCAATTTATAAAATTGTTTAAAAATGTTGATTTGTTTTACTATTTTATTGGTAAGTTAACATGACTTAGTTTAACAAAGTGATGATTTCTGTGTATTAATAAGCTCACAAATAGTGATTATTTTCAAAAGACCTTTTGTAAGTTTTTTTTGATGCAGGGCCTTGTGAGAAATTCTATGTTTCTATTTCATGTATTTTCAAATGCTTTTCTTTATTTTCATCAGTATCTAGTCACTGTATAGTATGTAATTCCTAAAGAGTAAGAGCTAATCAGGAGTTGGTTGAAACTTGATTATCATATAGTTAGGACTTGATTGTAGAAGAGACTAAATGTTTCAACTTAATCTTCACCCTTCTCCCTGACCAAAATATCAGTTCTGTGCCTTACAATGCCTTTGATTCCATATTCCTTGGAGGTCAGCAATTTAACAGTAAACGTGGATGTCATTTTTAGAGTCAGATCAGAGCTTACAGAATGTTTCTACAATAGCACCATAGGGGATCCATTCCAACTGCCAGGGTAAATAGGAACCCCCTTGATTAAACTGTTTAAAAATAGTTGATTAGATTAATATGGAACGCTTGGGAAATATTATAAATTTTGACATTCTACCAAGAGGACAGCTTTCATTCTGGAACTGATTTCTGTCTGTCAGATCAGTCTCCTTTTAACATAATTGATCCCTTTAACATAAAGCCATCTATGGGATTAAGAGAAACAGAATAATGACTTTTATTATTTCCATTGCCTTTAACTTTAAAAACTATGGTATTTTTTGCTCTATATCTCCAGGACACAATGTCCATTGATGTTTACTAAAATAGCCTGGAACATTTTTAATGTTTCCTTAAGGTTTCAAATGACTGTATATTTGGAAATCAAGCAGTGCTGCACTACAGGGTAGATCTGGTAAAGATTGTATTTGTATATTTAGAATTACCAAAACAATGTACTCTTACTTTTTTTGACCCTCCATGTTAGAGCAGTTGTATGCGCTCCTGCTTTCTTCTTATATCACATTATTAAGCTATGGATTTGAACTCAGTGATGACTTAGGATAAATATTTTTTCATAACATATTAGACATTTTTCTTTCCATCGTAAGTAGATTCAAATTAGATAGTCAAGAAAACATCTTTAAATTACCCCCTCCCCCAAATAAGAGTGTCCTGTTCTCAGAAGATTAATATTTTGTGACAGCTTTCCAGCAGGTGTCAATAAGTTGCCTTGTAGAAGGGGCATATTTTCTAGTTGATACAAAGGTGATATTTGTGATAGAAGTGGTCCTGAGTGGGATGGAGAAGCTATCATCAAGAGCTCTTGAGAGAGAGGACTGGATGTTCAGGAGCTTTGTTTACAAATAATAGAAACCCAGTTCCAACTGGCTAATGCCAGAAGGTGAACTGATCATTATAACTCAAGAACAGGAATGCACCTAGGACTGAGAAACATACTAGAGCCAGGGACTCCCACATAGTCAGGACCTACCTCTGTCTCTCTGTACTCTCCTTTCTGCTCCTCTCAATCCATCTGGCTCCTGCTTCTTTTCCTTCTTAGTCTACCTAGTACAAAACATCATGGCAAGCAACTCCTGGGTGTCACATATTGGAGATTCACAGGTCAGCAGAGGGACTGGCCTCTTCCAGGTTCCAGTGTCTAAATTCCTGGAGAGGAGACTTGGCTTAGCATAGATCAAATCAATAACATGGCCATCGTGTGTGAGACACTAACCGCAGCAACGGAGTGGATGCTGGAAGTGGAGTAGGCAGGAGGTAATGGTAGATTACACATCCTACACAGGGGTTCTGGAATAACCACTGATCACCTGGGGTTGTCCTTTTTTTGAGCAGTATCAGACACTGTGCTAGGGTTATGATTATTTAATCCTTAGGACAACCCCAGGTACAACCTGAGGTTGGTACTATTGTCTCCACAGGTTGGGAACTTTAGGCTTAGATAAGCTATTGCTTTTTCCTGAATATGCTGTGCACTAAATTCCTATTAGTTAAATGCCTAATAAAGTGCTAAATTAATAATTAACAAAGCCCTTTTTAAAAAGAATATTTTATTAAGTATGCTATTACAGTTGTCTCAATCCCCCCCCCCCCCCTTAGTTTATGTCCATGGGTGGTGAACATAAGTTCTTTGGCTTCTCTATTTCCTACACAATGCTTAACATCCCCCTGCCTATTTTGTACCTACCAATTATGCTTCTTAATCCCTGTACCTTTTCCCCCATTCTCCCTCCCCTCTGATAACCCTCTAAACGATCTCCATATCCATGAATCTGTTCCTATTCTAGTTGCGTAGTTTCTTTTTCTTTTTTTAGATTCAGTTGTTGAGTTGTTTATCATTTTACTGTTCAGTTTTTTCTTTTTCTTAAAGAAGTCCCTTTAACAATACATACAATAAAGCTTATGGTATGACCGATGAACTCCTTTGGCTTTACCTTGTCGGAGAAGGACAACAAAGCTCTTTTTAAACCAAGTGTGCCGAAACTCCTCCGCCAGGTTTCCACGCTGTGCCACTAGGTGACGTCATGACCAATCCCAGCCCTACGGTCCTTGATAAGAGCCAAGGCCTATAGCTGACCGCTGTGTTTTCCTCCAAGCTGTTTTGGACAGGCGCGCCGACAAACTGCGCTTTGGCCAGATGGGTTTGTTGGTTTTCTCATTGTCTTCTCAGACTACAGCTTTAACCACAAAACACTAATTTTCCTTTCAGCCGTGGGAGTTCTCGCGATACTTGCTACTCCGCTCCCCCTCGCTCCGCCCTCCTCGTTGCGCATGCGCAGGTCTTTACATAGCAGAAGGTCGCGCCAGACGGAAGTGGCGGCTTTCAGTCCCGGGGCCGGAGTGCCGTTGCTATTTCTCTGAAGCTCCTTTCGGCCGCTTGCCGAGACACCCCGCCACCAAAATGCCTCGAATTATGATTAAGGGGGGCGTGTGGAGGAATACCGAGGTAAGTCCCCCTTTCCCGCCGTCCGCTGCCCTTCGCCCCCTCCGGCAGCTTGTGCGCACGCGCACGAAGGTCGGGGAGACTAGGAGGATGCCCTGCAGGGTCTGCGAGGGGGCCAGCGTCTGGCGGACTCGCCGGGCCTTTACCTCGTGCCCGACCCTGCGTTATCTGAGCACGTCAAGGACAGGGTCCGTGATTTAACCACTTGAATACCTGCGGTGCACTTGTTAGGCTCCCAGTGAACATTCGTTGCACAGAGCAGGTTCTCTCACACCCCTGCCCTGGAGGAACTCAGAGTATGGAGGGGGAGATAGGACATCCGCGAGAGTTGCTTTTCTGGGGCACACCTGCCTCAGCCCGTACACGGAGCCTTTCTTTAATACTCAAAAATAAAGAAGTGCCGTGGCCACAACTTTGTTCCTTCATTGACGTCTGTGCAGAGGGGAAGCAGCCTGAGCGCCAGGTTCAAAGCGCCCGTTTATGCCCTTAAGCCCTCTGGTAATCTGTTATCAAGGCAAAACTTGTCTGTCCTCCCGACAGGTTCCAAAGCCTGTCTCTTCCTGTTACTCCTTCTCAGCTTGGGTAGAAGCCAGATGGGATAAGCTGATTGCAGTGGTTTCTTTACTCCCAAAAATGTAGTGGATAATGGCAACGGTGAGCCAGTAGAGAGGTAGTAAAATAAAAATAAGATGTTAGTGCAGTTTGTGTTCAGAGTGCACTGAATTTGTCAGTTTTTGGAGCACATCACATCTTTTCCCAATTCAGAAACTCTTCTTGGAATTTTTGCCTATTTTCCTTGTGAAAAATTAGTTCCACCTCCAGTGTTCTCATCACTCCTCTTTCATCCATTTGTTAATAGCTTTTGCAGGCATCACATCCTTCTATGTGATGCTGGGTAAGTTTATTAACTTCTCAGAAGCTCAGTTTTCTCATTTTTCTAATGGGGACGATAATACCACCTACATCTTGAGAATTAAATGAGTCAGTATACTTAGAACATTTAGAACAAAGTCTGGCACATATTCTTTCAGTAAGTGCTGGTTGCTATTTCTTTCCCCCAGCAGAAAGCCCTTTAAAAGGACCAGATCTTGGTTTCCCTAGAACCTAGGACAATAGCCAACATGAAGTCGGTTGTTTAGCAAAATGTTTGCCAGATGAATCTGGTAGGGTAGATAACTGTCATACATATATGTGTAGTTGAAGATGTGTTTAAGTATAGCAGTACTACAACAAAGTTACAAATAAGGTCATGACAGCTTTGCCTCACAGGGGGAACCTGGCTGTTTACATTGGAGAACAGACAGATGTATAAAATCAAGTAACAGCATGATTCCCCTGTAGTGACCAAAGTTTTGCAGTCTTTTTTAATCTCTGAAGATGGGAAGGTAGATTGTGGTGGAGTAGCTCATTTATGAGGCATACAGTTCAAGTGGAAAAAAGCCTAAAAACAAAATGGCCCAAGTGCATTCCTCTATGGCTTTATTATCTCTGGTGGCTATGGCTTATCTTGCTGCACTCCCCTGGGTTTGGTGAATTCCATAATCAGAATGGGTGCCCTTGTGAAATAGTATCTAGAAACTGGGGGAGGGTGGAGTACAGGAAACTGGTGAGTTGGGAGAGAAATACTTAATTCTCGACTTTGAGCTGGATGTGAATTCTAGGGTGAGAGTTTGGGTTATGCTACTGGAGAGGAAATACCATTCATAAAGTGGAGGCAGGAAGCTTGGGTTGGATAATGGGGTCACTAGCGTCTTGTCTTGATTCTTGAGGGCTGGATATGTCCTATTGGATTCTCTCTCCTTAAGCACGTAAGAGCTGATGTAAGGTAGGTTCAGGAAATGTCTTTTGAATGAATAAGTGAATGAGGTATACTCTTTGGAGGAGAATGACAGCCACACATTGGAGAATACTTTTTGTTAGTCTTTATCAAGTAGGGTTTCTCAGATTGAGCTGTATCCATCCATCCCAATTTATTGGGTAGGGGGTTGTGTATAAGGCAGGGTAGGATTGATGTCCTTCTAAGAGATATCTTAATTACTTGCATTTTGCTAATTCCAGCTTTCTGTTTATTATGATAGTAAATGAGGTTTTTGTACTTTTAAAAAAATCTAGAACAGCAATTTTTAACCTCTTTCATGTCATGACACACATAAACTAATCACTAAAATTTTGGGGCATACCCCAAAATACATTTTTTGCTGATTTGACAAAAAAATAGATGTAATTTTAATTCATTCACATTGGATGGTATTGTTGCGTTGGGTGTTGTCACTTTTTAAAAATTTTGTATTTATTGATTATAGAGAGAGAGTAAGGGCTTAGGGGAGGGCAGAGAGAGAGAGAAACATCAATTTGTTGCTCCACTCACTCATGCATTCACTGGCTGACTCCTCCACGTGCTCCCACCAGGGATCAAACGTGCAATCTTGGCACATTGGGATGACGCTCCAACCACCTGAGCCACTCAGCTGGGGATGTTGTCATTTTTAAAATTGACAATCTAAGGGAAAAGAGGTCAGTGCCCTGACTAATTAGTCAGGTACTGCATATTTAAAAAATTCTTACGGTTGAAAATTGCTGATCTAGGAGGTATGTATGTGTCTTTCTCTTTCTCTCCAGTAACCCTGTCACAGTTCACTTAAATTTTGTGTTTTCTCACTTGGAGTTTTGTGATTGAATGTACCATTTTTCTATGACAATTTTTTTAGGATGAAATTCTGAAAGCAGCGGTTATGAAATATGGGAAAAATCAGTGGTCTAGGATTGCCTCGCTGCTGCATAGGAAATCAGCAAAGCAGTGCAAAGCCAGATGGTATGTACCAGTTAATGAATGGAAGACAGAAAAAACCTTAGTTATGATGAGGAAAATTTCAGTGTTTTGTACCTTACCAAAGAAAGCAGGCATTGTGATATAACAGAAAGGATACAGTGGGAGGTGGAAATTTAAGTTTAAGACTTAGCTGTCACATGCTCCCTATGTGATCTTAGGCAAGTCATTTTTATATCCTCTCTATCTTGCCTCTGTTTTTTCTCATTTGAGGATAACAATCCTTGGCTCTAATTGATGGAGATATGAGGCTCAAGTGAGTTAATGTGTTTGAGAATGCTTTGTGAAGCATAAATCTGCTTTTAGGTGCAGATGGACTCCAGCTTATAGATGGATTGTACTCCAAAAGTTTAAAAGCTGGTTAGAACTTTCTTTCCCAACAAAATGAATGATAAGTAATGGTTAACTTTCTAGACTAGCTCACAGTAGTTGAGTTTTCTTATATACACTTGAAATATATATGCTCCCTCAAAATATAACATAACCTGTCACTATAACTGGGTATTCCCTTTTAAGCCACAAGGTAATGGAACATTAAACTTTTTACATGTATTCTTGGCATGAGTGATCTGGCCCCAGCCCTAACCCATGTGGTATTAGGATCATATTTTGAATTGTACAAGAGTGACCCTAATTTCCTAGGTATCTGAGTAGGGGAATTGATCATAATGTAGAGATTAGACCCTGAAGAGGAAGACAGTCCTCAACCTGAAAAAGTAGTTCTGATTTCTCCTTCTCATAGTGGAGCTAAGCCTCTGTCCTGATGTTTGATAAGGCTTGTATCTTGTTTGTCAGCTTCTCATCCAGCTTAGTAAATTGCATGGAAAAAGTGGGTGGGGTGGGGCATTAGGAAAGACAGATGACAGTAGTTTCACTTAAATTTAAAAACATCAAATAAAAACAATGACTATTCTGTTGGGAAAAAACAGCTTTTGTAATTGAAGGATGAGACTTAACCTTCCATTTTTGAGATACTAGAAGTCAGTGTATCTAATGTGTAAATAGGATATTCATGCTAGGTGACTGATTAATGAATAAAATTGTATCTTTTTAATAGGTATGAGTGGCTGGATCCAAGCATTAAGAAAACAGAATGGTCCAGAGAAGAAGAGGAAAAACTTTTGCACTTGGCCAAGTTGATGCCAACTCAGTGGAGGACCATCGCTCCAATCATTGGAAGAACGGCTGCCCAGTGCTTGGAACACTATGAATTTCTTCTGTAAGTGAATCTCCAAAGACAGTATTAATTAAAATGTGTGTGTATCTTCTGAATGAGTCTGAATAAACTTCTAGCATTTTTTTGTCTTTAAACATATAGTTACATATCCGAGTAAAGCTGAAGGAACTAAAGCTATTGGATTATATACTCCAGATCTCATGTGATCAAAATTATTCCTTTTATATCCTTTTTAAAAGAAGAATTAAAAAATAAATAAACCATACATGTTCATCATAGAAAACGTGGAGAAAATATGGTAAAACTAGTAAAAATCACCATAATCACACTGTTGAGAGAGTTAACCTTTTTAACATGGTTAACAATGTTTCTTCGTTAGTAGTGTGTTTTTTTTTTGTTTGTTTGTTTTTTAAATATGACTATACTGCATTTGTGATTAAGGGACTGTTTGGATATCATTTTATAAGTGAATGGGAACACTCACTGACATCAGAGGGAATTTTAATACCATCTCTTTCAAGTGAAGCAATAGTAGAAATGCTTTTTTTTGTTAATGTCCATCCATTGGGTTTTTAAAAATGTTACCTTTTTTTAAAATTGAATATATTGGGGCAACATTAATAAAATTATGTAGGTTTAGGGGTAGAGTTTTATAGTACATCATCAGTACATTGTATTGTGTGTTCACACCCCAAGTCAAGTCTCTTTCTATCACCATTTATTTCTCTTTTTTCCTTTCCTACCCTGCTGCACACCACTCCCCTTCCCTCTGGTAATCACCGTACTGTTGTCTTTCTATGAGGGTTTGTGGTTTTTTTC